GCTAACAGTCATGGATTGGCCTGCCCAGAGCTCAACATTATTGAAGCAGTGTGGGATCATTTTGGCAGAACAGAACAAAAGTCAGCCAACATCCAAACAAGAGGTTTAAATGCCTGGAGAACTATTCCTGAAGACTACTTAAAGAAATGACAAGAAAGCTGCCTAAGAGAGTTCAGCTGTGTTGAAGAATAAAGGTGGTCACACCAAATATTGACTTTCAAGCCTGTTAAAATTGTACAAACTCAGTTTTTCCCTGATGTTTGCACATGTTTGCACCTATTTCCCATTTTCCTTGCTAAATCTAAAGAAAGAGGGGTGGCTTCGTTTTTTTTCCCTGTATTGGTGTGATTGGTGTGTACACAGCTTTACTCGATAGAACTTTTGTGGTCTTGTTTTTTGTTTTTCAGCATGCCTTGTCACAAATAACAAAATCTCCTTTCCAGTGCCAAAGTAAAATTTAATTGAGCATACCAGTGTGAATAGTCCAAAAAACAGGAGCTTTACCTTAACTGATTAGTTACTTAACAGCTTAACTTATCTGGTTATGCAGCAGTTTTAAAAGCCAGAAATAAAACAGCAGTGCAGAGGAAACAGAGGCACAGAGCCGCTGCTCCTTCTTCGGACTCTCGGTTGTCCCGGGACTCGGCTGGCCAGTGAAGCGCAACTTCCAAACCAGGGTTCTAGCTAGGAGTCACGGGAAGGGCAAGCTCATTAATTATCTCTCCCTCTCTTCCTCCCTCCATCCTCCCATCACACCCTCCCTTCATTACCAGCAAGGTTAATCCCCCCCTTATCTCCCAATGAGGCTCATTTTTCATGACTCCCTTTCTCCCTCCCTTCCCTCATCTCTTCTCCATCCTTCCTTCTCCGTAATTCTTCCCCCTGTCTTTCCTTCTGTTGTTCAGTTCTTCCCTGCATCTTTGCATAGTTTGTTATTCAGCCACTCCCGCCCCCCCACGTGCTTCCCGTTTCTTCTGCACACTCCCCCGTCTTCTCATTCCCACTGTATCGTTTTAAATTCGATCTCCTTTCCTTTTCATTTCCTTTAATTTTATTTCCCCTCGTCTCCTCGCTTTCCCCTCCGCTCTCTCCTGTGCTTACCTTGAACAGGCCGTGGCGAGTATCTATTACAGCTTATCACTAAAGGACAGGCCAACGCCGCACGCCGGTGAAATATGGCTGCTGTCACAGCCGCCGCGGAACACGACCGGCGCACAAGGCTCACAGAGCTGTGAGGACAGGGGGAGAAGAGGGGAGAGGAGGACTGGAGAAGGGGGTTATGGAAGCCCCTAATTCAAATTAATGGGAAGATTTCCAGGCCTGATGCCGACCGTTTGACAGTGATTTGGCACACAATTAACCTTGTCTCCCTCTCCCTTCTGCAACACCCCCCGGCCCCCGTCACCTCCTCGATTCTACTTGCCTCCTTTTCTCTCCGACTCCGTCCATCCCCTGTAACTGCCGCGCTCTTTGACACAGTCTTAGTGATTACGAAGCAAATTGAAATGCTGATGTTTTGTGATATCAGCTGACATCCCCTTACTGTCGCGTCCCAATTGAATTAGTTCTGAATCGCTGACGTCCACGCTGCATAACATGATGCGACTGCCTCATTTTAGATTTTGGCACGCCCTGTTCCACCACGACTTCTTAACACAGTTTAGAGGAAGTGTGAGAATAACTCTAATGAGCGTGACGGCAATTGCCGGGTAGCGGTTTTGTTGTCCGGTTTTAATGATGCAACCGCTTTATTTAGGAAAATCCAGCTCACCGACACGCAGAGCAGACCCGGCGTCGTAGATTCACATTCAGCGACCTGTTTAAAAGGCCGTCCCTGCTGCAGCTCCAACCTTTCAGCTAGATTTTACTGACTGCTTTTATAGGCCGTTTCACCTTGGGTTCCAGTTCAAGGCACCAAACAGCCTATAGCTTTCAAGCAGAGGAGAACAACTGGAGTGTTACAGAGAAAGAGGGAGGTGTAGCAAGTAACAAAATGGAAAGGAGAGATGATGTGTGGAAAACCAGCCACAGTGAGAGGTAAAGGTTTGTGAAGAGAGCTTTCCTGTCTGGCCCTGCAGAGAGAGTACAAACCGTCAGTGTGTTTTGTCATTGTCGTTACCACAAACAGCTAAAATATCTTTAGTTTCTTTGCTCTGTCATACCTTTTTGCTTGCAACCCTGGTTATAAAGCCATCAGCGTTAAGGTGGGATGATATTAACTGTAGCTACCTTGCTACTTTAGATTCCCACAGATGAATGGGAGGAGAGGAGGAGAGTGCGTTTGCAGTGACAGTTTGCAGGTAGCTGAGCAAAGACGTGGAAGATCCCTGCGCCGGCACAATGTTGCTGACAGTCGGTGATTATCCCAGGAGTTTTTTCCGAGACTCTGCCTCAGCACATGTGACATGAAGGAATCACAGCAGAGACAAGCATGGCAGTTGGGTGACAGACAGCAGGGCGTGAGCACTGTCTGAGGGTCTGAGAACGATGACGATGTGACACTGTCGGGTCTCAGAGTGGAGCGCAACAGACATCTGCAGACAGGGGAAACGTCTAATAACGACACGCCAAAATAATGTCGTACACAAATCGCCGTCTTATTTTTCTGTTCTCTAATCTTGAGTTATATGTCTGGGATTTCAAAGAGGTTGATATTTTGTATGTGCTCTGTTTTAGATGTTTAAATGGTGATAATCGCCTTGATAGACATGAGCTTCAACTGGTTAATAACAACTCGTTTTTATAGCAGAGTTGTTGTAGTTTTATGTTTTCTAATTAGTTTTTATTTTGCTTTTAATTCAGTTTAGTTTCAGTTACTTTCCAGAGTGGTTTTTAGTTTGTGTATTTGAAAATGCTTCGTGTTTTATTAGTTTCAGTGTTTAGTTTTAGCCATTTTTATTATTATTGTATGATGTGTATATGTCAGAGGCAAGATTTAGAAAGATCAGCACAGGTTTTACAATAAAAACACAAAAACCAGGTTGCCTGGTTTGTTTTACATCAGCCTTCCTGTGTGGAGTTTGCATGTCCTCCCTATGCTTGCATGGGTTCTCTCCAGCTTCCTCTCATAGTCCAAAGGCATGCATGTTAGGTTACCTGGTGGTACAAAATTGTCCACTGATGTGAATGTGAATGGTTGAGCTCTGCGATAGATTAGCAACCTGTACCTCTCCCCAATAAGAGCTGGGATAAGCTCCAGCCTGACAATGACGCTGAATTGGATGAAGAATGGATGTTTTGCATTATAATAATACCTATAATAATAGCTTTATTTGCTAGTTACATACATACACTGGATCTGGGTACATAGGAAATCTTATGTAGAGCTTAGAGTCAAAGCTAAAGTCACACGGTCACACAAAACAAATATAAAACAATGTACTAAAATACAGTAAGAATTATAATATTAGTTCAAGTATAAGAAACGGTAATTTCCATATTGCACTTAAATGACTATAGTATAAAAATACTGCATGTCATTGGAATATATATAGATGGGGTGGCGTTTGTGTGTATTTAGTTAGTCACTATTTTGTTTTTGCCATCAGACTTTCCTGTGGCAAGAAAGACGCCGTTGTGGAAGCGTGCGTGTGCGTGCGTGCGTGTGTTTGGGTTTGAGGCCAAAATGTCCCTCTGCTGCGTCTCTGGTTGTAGTTAAATCTTTTATAAAGCTGTTCCCTCTTGTACTGAAAATGTAAGGAGTCCAACTGCACAGTACTAACAGCAGCTTTACTGGGGACAAATTACATTGAATGTCTTTTTTAATGTGTTTTAATTAATTTAAGTACATTTTAAATTTTTAGTAACACTAGAAACAAATGATCCAAATTTCGATGCGTTTAAATCTGTCTCACTTTGAAACAATCAGCAAAGTTTTCACAGTAAAATACGTCAAATATTTTATTGTTTGTTGAAGTTATCGTTGCGCTTCATGCCACTGCCCCAGTGGGAACCAAACATCTGTCCCTTTGATTCTTATGACTTACTAAACAGCTAAAAGACTAGTTTTACCAGATGGAGGCCGTAATGCCAGGAAACACAGTCGGTAGATTTGTTTGATCATCACAAATGGCTCCAAAATAAATTATGTAAGAGCTGAATATTCACATAATCTCCTCAGCTCAGCCTCCTCTCAGCGCTACTCATGCATCGTGTTTCCTTTTGTTCCAGCGCACTGTTTCCTCTATGTTTCAAGTGGTGGAGAGGCTGGTAGATAAAAAAGATGTGTGTGGATTTTCCCATCACTCTCACGACACTGTAGAAACATGCACACGCACCGTGCACGCTCACAGATTGTAGTCCCGCTGCAGCACGTGTTGCCCATGACTCACGACACAGCCTTGTAAAGGGTTTAACACAAGGTAGGAGGGGATAAGCGGCCTCCCTGATGTTTAAGCTGCCTCTGCTTTGAAGCAGATGCGAGCCTGCGTGTTCATTCTCTCTTTCCCCCGTCCTCCTTGCTCCTTTTGGTTTGCGTGCGTGTGTAATCGTGTGTTGGTGTGCTAAACCAAACCTCACGACTATTAATGCATCCTGATCATCCCACTGAAATTGAAGCTGATGTGTTGCGAGGGAAACGGGGTAGGAATTAGCTCCCTCGATCCAACGCTGGTTGCCTTTTACCATCTGAGGTATCCCGACTTTTATCTTCATGCATTTTTAGCTCAATCCCAGCTCACAACAACTCGTGATTGTGTAGATCAGTGCCTGCTGTTCTCTAAAATCCAAATACCGACGTTCATTTAATGCAAGTGATGATTAATTTCATACTTGTTGCAAAGCCCTGATACACATGAATTGAAACTCTTGCCTGAAAATGTTTGAAGTTAACTGAAGTTGATGATGCAGGAATTTCAATTCATCTCATTCAGTTTTCAGACATGAATGATGAAGCTGAAAGTGAATGTACTGCAAGCCAAAGTATCAGGGTTATCGCCATCAAACTCTCAGACGCACAAGTCTCCTCTATGCTAAGTTTCATGTGTTTGCTTTGCTTGTAGACCATTGTTCGAGGGAACCGGCCACCCAAAGATGCATCCATTAACGGCCTGCTGGAGGAGTTCGACAACATTTCGGTAACACGTTCCAACTCCCTGCGTAAAGAGAGCCCGCCAGGCCCCCATCAGGCTGGAGGCATCTCCAAACCCTCGGGCAGTGGCCACCTCACTGCTCCAGAGGAGAACGGATTCAACCACTACTACTCCCGCTACTCGTGTGACCTGGACACGTCCAGCAGGGACTTTTCTCTGGACCCCGGCAAGCCAAGCTTCTCCATAGATGGGGATTGGGCACTTGGCAGGCACTATCGATTCACCAAGCAGAATGGCCACTCACACCCCATACGCAGCCCCTTTTACCCTGATGCCATGCCTCAGAAATCAGACTATGGCAAACTTCCACCTGACTATCACACCTATCTGGAGAGCAAAGGGCGGTCGGCGGATGAGGTGGCCTCTACGGTGGGTAGCGGAGTAGGTTCCAGCGGCTACTACCGGGCATCGGTGGGGGGTTCATCCAGCCAGGACTACCGGGACACATCAGTTGGCACACCGTCTCGTGCATCACTACACAGCGAGCAGATTAACTACCCCGACAGTGAGTGGAGTTACGGCGGCATGAGGGACGAATATGAGAAGCGACCCAAGAGTTCCTACGTGACCCAGACCAGCCCCACGCCTGCCATCAGGCAGCGATCTCGGTCAGGCTCTGGGCTGCAGGAGCCAAATGTCCCCTATGCCGCCAGTGGGACTTTCAGGAGCCCGCCACAGGCCCACCCGTACAGCTCCTACACCTACCCTCGCCTTTCGGAGAGTCTCGCCAACTCACAGACTTTAACCAAGGTAACTAAAGCAAAATGGAAATGCCATGTTTCAACACACTATATCCTCCCAACAAGTCTGTACGAACGTATCAGAGAGAATTTTATACATGTACACTCATGTGACACACACTTTAACCTCCCAGTCACCTTTTCACATTATTTTCTTCTTCAGTGTTTCGAGTTCTCTCTGATCCTCAACCATCAGTTTTCTTTTTCTGCTCTTCCTGCCTGATAGATGGTTTCAGCTTTAATCTACTCTTCTCTGAAGGAGGAAGGTGATGTCACATAAAGAATTGCACCTCTGGCGTGTCCACTAGCTCTATACACAGTTCAATTAATGCTCAGAATGACCACTGACCAAAAAGCTCTGACTTACACAAATTAATAAATAGGAGCAAGTGTTCTTGGGGTTCAAATTTATACTGAAGCTTTGCACCACACAAACTGCAATCACTGCTAAATATAGCGTTTTAACAGAAACATAATTGGCACAAAGGTATAAAAATATACTATCATTGCAATTATTAAAAGGCTAAGAGAATTACAAATGCAAATATGCATAACGGTGGTCAAGACGAACTCAGCAGAAATTAAATATCTAATAGCAAAGCTTTAGAGCACAGGTGTCGAACTCCAGGCCTCGAGGGCCGGTGTCCTGCAGGTTTTAGATGTGTCCTTGATCCAACACAGCTGATTTAAATCGCTAAATGACCTCCTCAACATGTCTTGAAGTTCTCCAGAGGCCTGGTAATGAACTAATCATTTGTTTCAGGTGTGTTGACCCTGGGTGAGATCTAAAACCTGCAGGACAGGCCTGGAGTTTGACACCCCTGCTTTAGAGATTAGAAATGAGTACATCAGAGGGACAGCTCAGGTTGAGCAGTTTGGGGACAAAGTTAAAGCAGCAAGGCTGAGATGGTTTGGACATGAGGAGAGGAGGATATTAGACTTTTCAGAAGGAAAAGAGGAAGATCACGAAGAAGGTTAATGGATGTTGAACGGGGACGTTGCTGTGGCAACACCTTTCCTCAATTATTTCTTCTCTATTGACATCAAATAAGAGTCAATAAGCTGTTTGGAATTTGCACGAGAAGATTTGTCAAGTTTTTTATGGGCACAAGCCACATGCTCAACTCTGCTGCTCAACCCACAAATGCATTTTTCCTTACAAATGCGGCACCATTTAAAGGTAACTAAACAGGCTTTTCAACAGTATAAGATTTATTACCGTGAAACATTGTTACAACAAAGAAATAATCAATCAAACACTAATTTCCTTACTTTTTTGTGGAACGCATAGATGGGCTTTGATGTTAAGGATGCCCAGAAATATTTTTTTTTTGTTTTTGTGACATGGAAATGCTTTTTATATGACTGTATTACAGATTTTTAACTGAAAACATCTCACAAACAAAACACACAAAAGGCAGGTTTTTGCACGTTTGTAAAAGTTAGAAAAAAAACATGAATTTAAAGGAACCTATGTGATTGTTGGTAAAATCCCCCAGCAGTGTCACTCAGTAGATTGTATATTGTATTTGGGAACAGCTGCACTGTAAGTATGCCGGCTCTTGTGCAGCCCGTGTCGTGCTCCAGTGGAGCAGTGGGAGAGACGCCCAAGAGATTCCTCTGCACAGAAACTCCACTGACAAGAACAAACGAACCGTCCACGCGTTAGTGGCTGTGTAATGTAACCATATGCTTTCGGTTACTCGTAGTTTTTTTACACCAGAATTCTCAGTGCAAAGAACTCCGTGTGCTGCGGTGGAAGATAATAGATCAGGAAATATAGCAGAGGGCAAAAGGTGGGGTCAGACTTTTCACACAACACCTTTTTACATCATTCTTCCAAAGCTCTCCGAGCATCATTAAACCCGCGAGTGCCGCTATCACAGTTCTGCACCATGCCTCCCTTCACACACAGCGAGCCGAGAGGGGAAACCGGGTTTGCTGATGTAGATCCCAGGGTGCCTTGATGAAAAACCATTTAACCCGCGTGTCTCGGTAAATAGCCACTCGAAGAAAAAGCAGCCACGGAGAATGCAAGAGCAGCAGGAAGGCGATGCAGGAGAAGGTCATTTTTCTTTCATGTTGTTTGTTTCACATTTCTGCCGCTGTTTGAGTTGTCACGCTTAAAGAGGCGCGCTTGCTTTTCTATTTAAAAAAAAAAAAAGTAGAATAAGTAAAGAGTCGAAAGCCAATTTAGCCAAATTATACATGAAAGAATTTGTTTGAGCATTTACAAACGTACTCTTTCATATCTCAAAGGCGTGACTATAATTGGACTTAATGTGATGGTGTTTTTAATATTTCTTGTTTGATTTTCACAGCAGTGGTTTAAAAAAAGGAAACAACAAAACAAGGAGTCATCTGGCAGCTGAAGAATCACTATTCTTCTTGGCTCACGGACCTTGGAACAAACCCACCTCCCTCGCTCTTTGCTCACTCTCTGCCTTTTCTTCTCTTTTCCTGGTTCAGCCCACTCACACCGCTGAAGTAAATCCTTCTTTTTCCCTGCCGTTGTTGGAAGACGTTGGGGATGTAATAGTAGACAGCACAGAAACTTGGCCACACACAAAGATGCAAACGCACACACACACACGCACGCTTCCTTTCTCTCTGCCGCCGTCTCTCTCTCTCTCTTCCTCACTGTTTTGTAGCGAGTGTGAGCTCAGTGCCGCAGCTCTCGGTGACAAATTGATGTTGCGGCACTTTCCCTTTCTGCAGCCTTAGCATAAAACTGGCCGAACGATGTTCCACCGCGGAATTCAATTTCACAGTTGAGTTAGGTTGTTGATTACCCTGCCAAACTCAGATTAATGCGCGTTTAACCAACATGGATCAGGAGACCCCTGGCTGACAGCCAGCGAGCGCTTGCTGGCCAACGATAGAGGGGCACGAGACGGGGGCCTCCCAGCAGCCACCCCCGCACCTGCCTCAGAGTGATTGATTAAAAGAGTTCACACCATGTAATTATACACCATCCCAACACATCAGGGCTCCTCCTCCTACCCTGTCTGTGCTTGTGGGTTTCAGTCTGTGTACGTGTGTGTGTGTCTCTTTGTGAAAGAAAGAGAAATAGCGATTAGGCGCAGAGAGAGTGACAAATAAAAGAAAGGAGGAAAGAGAGTTTTATTTATTATAGTCGGAGTCTCTTGAGGGGAAAAATCAGGCTGGCTGGAGATCATTTTAGAGAGGTGTGGCAAAGGTGATTTAGTTTAGTCTCTGCAGGGTGAAAGCAGATTCATCTTCTAAGTTAATTTTTGTTTTTTCTTTGCTGTAATCCACTTTAGATCACTCTGGGTAGTGTTGATGTTTGCTGTAGCACTTTAATCCCTCTCCTGGGGTTTAAATGACAGACTTTTGTCACGTAGATATGCCACTGACAGCTGCACAGTATCAGCCTGTCTCTACTTACGTCCTATTGTTAATGACCTGTGGCCAGTTTTCCTTAAAATGACAGGATCCATGTGACATAATACGATGACGAAGCTATTAGGTTATGAAACCACTCCAAGTGTGCGTATTTGTAGCCAATTGTGAGTCATGTAATGAAAGCTGAGTCATGTAAGCACTACTGCATTCTCACTAATACCCATGTGTACGCTGCAATACTACTTTGAAGGACAATCTTAAGGAAGAGCTGTGTCCCAGATCTGAGTCCACTGCAGGCTCTTGGTTGATGAATGGAGTAGCTGTGAAGCATTTTAGAGGGGGGTGGGGTGGTAAGGATAAGGTATGGTCGCTGTCCTGTGCACTAAATGTTCTCCGTTAGGTCTGTCCGGGAGTAATGTACCTGCAGGTGTAGTGTATGACCGTGGATGTACAGGCTGACGTTTAACAGTAAAATTCTTCAGTATTCACTGCAGTAAAATGCTGACATCTGCGTAATACTAGACTTGTATGTAATTTTCCTCGCTTTTCCAGGGCGACTATGAGCGTCCGTCACGCGATGACAGTCCCCAGGTCGCAGGTGGTGACACGTACCCCCGAGGGCCTCTTAAGCTACCTCAGAGCCACACGAAGCCGCCTGGCTACCCCTCGGTGCACCTGCCGTACCCCCCGATCTTTCACCATTACAAACCCTCTCCTTACCATCATCCTCCCTCCCAGCCCAGTCCACCATATACCCCGCAGGTACAGTATGTTCGCTAACTTCACATATAAAAACTGCATCATAGTGATGATTCAGTTTGCTACAGATTGCAGATTATACTCTGTGACTTTGGTAAGTTAGCTGAGATCAACACTTCCTCCAGGTTTTTAACTGTAACCATCTTAAATCTCTAACTAAAGTAGCTCTTTCCCAAATTGATTCTTTAGAAAATAAAATCATTAGGTATATAAGCCATGTTATTTCTGTCTTTTTTTTATAACTTTTTCATCCAGGGGGCCTACTCACAGCCTTCGTCACCTTACGTCCCCCCAGGGGCTTATCCGCCTCCTTCCTGGGGGTCGAGCTCTGACACGCAGCCCTCCAGAGTTTCTCATGAGCAGTTCAGAGCAGCACTTCAGCTGGTGGTCAACCCTGGTAACTTGAAATTAAAGGAACATTGAAATGACACGCAAGCATGTGACAACTTGATAAATGGACGGAATGGACACTTTACCCAAATACACATACATTCATGCAACTTGTTGTTTTTCTACATCCAAGTGTTTCCTGTCTAACATTCAGAGTTTCATATAGCAGTATTTAGAGTCTGTAATGGCCTGAATAAACTGCAGCTTGAGTATTTAGCAGAGGCATGCAACTGCAACTTCTAGATGTTTTTTTTACATTTATATCTTTCTTTGTGTCTGATGTTGCATTAAAATGAGGCACGATGTTTGTGTTCTCCTCCAGGCGACCCTCGGGAATACCTGGACAGCTTTATTAAGATTGGCGAGGGATCCACAGGTATTGTTTGCATCGCCACCGAGAAGCACAGCGGAAAGCAGGTGGCAGTGAAGAAGATGGACCTCAGAAAACAGCAGAGAAGAGAGCTGCTTTTTAACGAGGTATCAAACAACGATTACCTGAGAAACTGTCCTTAGCTCATACTATAACCCAAATAGTTCTGATGTCGTATGTTTGAGTGAATTAATCAGGTGGATTTAGATTGGGGCCATAATGACCACAGAACTAACATTTGTCACAGATTGTTGATAGCCTAAGCAAGCGACAGTCGTGAAACTGTTTTAATTAGCATAATAAAAATGCCACTTTATGCTAATTAATGAAACAAACAGCAAGAGTTCAGTTTGCCCTTATTTCCCTAACATCCATCCACAGCAATTAAACCACTAACACATTTTTTTTTACATCTGCACCTTAAGCAAGAAATGTATTCGTGACTGCTCACATTCATGATGTCCTGACAAGCTAAAAAATGAGCTGCATTTCATTTGCCCAGGAAAAAAAAAGTCTAATGTATTTAAATGTGAACTGAGCGACGCTCGGATTGCATTTCTGCCCTGATTCTTTTGTATTTTGGTCTCTGTTTAGTGTGCATGAGTGGGAGAGAGAATGCATGTATGTAAGCATGAGTGCGAGGTGTGGAGCAGCGGGTGTTCAGCGGGAAAGTAATTTGTTTCGTGTAATCCTATTAATTTGAATGTAATCCTTTTATGATTAAGCCTCCAGAACATGTTCATATTAGACAAAGGGGAAGTTGAATTAATATTGAAAAAATGAAATTACATGAATAGATTCAATAAACCACTGGAATTGTAGATAATTTTTTGTAGCACATTTTAGCATACATTCTTAAATATGGTATTGAATTGAGGAATTTCAGAGAGAAACCTTTTTGAGGCTCAAAGCATGATTTTCATTTCATATTAACAGTGTAGTAACAAAGTATAGCAGCATAATAACAGTGACAGAGCCAGTGTACTACAGTGTCATTAGTAACGATACATACATATATATTTCTCTGTCTGTGTTTTAGGTGGTGATCATGAGGGACTACCATCATGAAAATGTTGTGGACATGTACAACAGTTACCTGGTGGGAGACGAGCTTTGGGTCGTCATGGAGTTCCTGGAGGGAGGGGCACTCACTGACATTGTGACTCACACCAGGTAACTGCTCAATGCACAAATGCTGAGGTAAACCATCAAGCTGTGTGATGCGGAGCTTGGACGATGTAAGCTGTTGTTAGGGTTATAAAATTATAAAATATAAATTATAAAAGGACATTTTGAAAAACAGGATAATTATTTTGCTCAAGTAGTTAATAGACGTCAAACTCTACAACCAGGTGAGCAGCATGTAAAGGTCCTGAGGCACGTTTTAACTTTTAAGTGATTAGTAAGATATTCCCTAAAAATGAATCAGGGATTCAGCATTGCAAGAACCAGGTAAAAATTAACGTGTTACATCTCGTTTAAAGTTATTGTCCAGTCGAACACAGGCTTTTTAAACCTTTATTTTACCATGAAGGCTCATTGACACCATACTCTACTTAGGAAGAGAGACCTTGGCATTGAAGCAGGAATACAAGCTGCTAATACAGAGTCCATCAAAAGGAATCATCTGATTTCACAGTATCGTTCACTGGTAAAGATCAGAACACGTATTATAAGAAAGAACGGATTCACGAGTTTCACATGGCTGCTGGCGGCTGCAGTGACTCCAGACATGCTCACAATAATGTGTGAGATGAGTTTGACTATCATATGGACTTGCGACCAGAGAAGGACACATTTAACTTTTGAACATTGTGAGTTGTGTATGTAAAAGTTTATCTTCAGCCATGTATTTTAAAATGTCCCGTAAGTTTTTATGTCTATTACTTTAAAAAATCTAGCTTTTTGAAATTGGATGATTCGTTTTGATACACCCCTGCATACTAAATGAAACATAAAGTGCAGCATATTTATTTACACATTGTTCGGCTGGTCATTAATGCAAATATCTAATCAGCAACTCAATGCATTTAGGCATGTACACGTGGTTTCGCACAGTTGTTGTCAGATGGGCTGACAACAACAACCAGAAACTTGTGATTTACTGGTTCACACACAAACATCTCTACATTTTACAGGAATTGGTTGAAAAAAAATCTATTGAGTCCTACTTCAAGCAAGCGCCTTGTCAAACAGAGCACCTCTGGGATGTGGTGGAACCATATAATTGCTTAGTAAGAAAATGCATGTTCTGCAGATGTGTAAAATAAATAAAAACACTGCAGAGACAATCAGCTTCCTTCTCTATTGTTACCTAAGTTTCAAAGGACCTTATAGACAGACTTTGCTCCCTTCTAACAGAGCCAAGTTCACCTGTTTTTTATATGATGTCCATCCTCTCATCCAAGAAAACTAGCGTCATTCAAAAATGTGAAATCATCTTTATTTTTAATTATTTTATTTTTCAGTTCAATGGCTGTTTTCAGACTGACTGAAAGAATTAAAGTATCAGATTTTGAAGCATTATGTAATACTTTTATATAAAAGAAGAAATCAGGCCAGCTTTGTGTGTGCCATTTGTGTTCGTTTTGACTGGTGAGATTGACGGAGAGAGAATCCACATGGGAGGGGAAAAGGTTTATGTCACCTTTTAAAGGGCGTGTTGTTCAGATGATGTTGCTGACATCAAATGGATTTTAATATAACTTAGCAAGCACTGGTGCGCAGTCGAAATTCAATTTTTTTTAATTTTATTTGTTGCAGCTGACACGAACAGGTGAATAATTTTGCAAGGCGCAGAGGAAGGACTGGCTGAGACGATACGATGCTCCGATAGTTTCAGGATTATCGTTCTCCAACTTTTCCAAATGGTTTCTGTGTTACTGAGTTGCGTTTCTAAGCTGCTGCCTCATTGTTTTAAGCTTACTTTGTGCTTGGTGTTTAATTACAGTCATTTGCGCGGAGTGTCAGCATTAGCGCTGCGCGGTGTCGGATGCTAATAACACGCTTTGGCGAGGCTGAGCACCGCTGCTGCTGTGAAGTATTTTGAACAGTCTCCCACACAGATGTTTGCTCGTTTGTGTGCTCGGTGCATGCATGAGAGAAAGTTTCACCACGAGTGCTTTTAAAATTACTCACGGAAAGCTCATAAAACTGGATTTTAAACAGAATTTCTCTTTTTGATAAAGACTCACATACATTCACCCTGTAGGGTCAGTTGCTTTTTTTTTTTTTTTTACCTTTTATTAATATTATCAGAAAAAGTTTGGAATAAAACTTAATAGATGTCCTTATAAAATGTAGATTGATTAGTATGCAGGCATAAAATAAAATCAGTGAGAAAATACCGCAGAAGGGCTTGAGCGGTGTATTTTCTTCATCAGTAATTTCTGCCATATTTGTCCAGGTGAAAGCCTGCTGCTATTTCTGTTAGGCTTTTTGTTGTGGAAATAACTGCTGCCTGCCTCGCGTTGTGCAAGCCTCATCAGCTTGCTGGCAGCAAACACACAAACGCACACACGCTCTGAGATTTATGGACACATGCGCGCTCAATTCTAACTCACACAGGCAAGTCTGCAGCGGGAGGAGAATGGGGGGTCTGCAGAACTATTTCAGTCACGTTCAGATTTCAATTATACTTTTAAAGTTGGGTAATGATCTGCACTTCGAGGGGATTTTTATCTAGTGTAAATGCAAAAGCATATGGGTTTGTGTGTGCAGCTGTGTGTGTGTGTGTGAGTATGAATGCCTTAGTGTTTGTGTGTGCACCTTTTGTCTGTGTGTAGGTGCATGTGTAATTCTCCTCCCTTTGACAACCTTTACAGGCTCATTAAAGTTGTTTTTCACTTTGTGAAACAATTTTCTATTTCACTGATCCTGCCTCCATGAGTGTGTGTGTGTGTGTGTGTGTGTGTGTGTGTGTGTGTGTGTGTGTGTGTGTGTGTGTGTGTGTGTGTGTGTGTGTTAGGAGGGAGAGAGAGGCTCATTTTATGTCGTGTGTATGGAGCATGGGATTTTTTTCGGGGGGGGGGGGTTGTGGTGTAAGTGGAGAGGCGGTAAGAGGTGATTCATTTTCACGTACGCGTCTCCATCCCATTCACTCCGAGTTAGCCGGTTGTTTTTCCATTAGCAGAAAGCTCATTTATCTCTTGTGATTGTAAAAGCATACATGTGTAACAATAAAATATGCTGCAATCTGTAGAGTGTGATTATATATGTTTAATATTATGAGCGTATGTGTAGCCCAAAGGGTTGTTTCTCATAATGTAAGTTTGCAAGTTTGCAAGTAAGTGCCCCAATAGCGGGAACGTTACACTGTATGATAAAGAGAAGTGTGCAGAAGGGTTGCAAGCATGTAAGATCATACTGCAATGCATATACAGTATATGTGCATCTGCATCCATCTGTATCCTTAGTCTGGGGTTTAAAACAAGCGCGCTTCTTTGTGCACATGTATTGTATGATTGCAGATTAGAGCGCACACAAATAAGCACACAGCACAGCCCGGCCAGCTGGGTCTAGAGACGTTAATGTTCAGTGGAGCTGTGAGTTTCTACATGAACTCAGTGAGACGCGCAGCATCGCCCCCTCTCTCCATATGGGACCCTCCTGCCTGCTCGTAGCTAGAAACGCTGCAGGCCACAGTGGGATATTTTCAAACTGGATTTCTACTCCATATCCTCTATAGGATGACTCTCAAGTCTTAAAGCCAGTCATTTTTGTAGCTCAAAGAATAAAAGTCAGTTTTATTTATGAATAAATGTTTTCTTGCAATGCACAGCACATGGAGAAAGCACAGGCGACAAAAATGAGCTTACTGGATAAAAACAAATAGCACATTTATTAAAAAGATAAACTACAAATTGTGGAAATAAACAGTTAGCTATGAAAATAAATCTAATCTGATTAAATAAAATATTTTTGACAGGTCGTGTGTGTGTGTGTCTCCTTACAGGATGAACGAGGAGCAGATTGCTACGGTGTGTCTGTCGGTGTTGAAGGCTCTGTCCTACCTGCACACACAGGGCGTCATCCACCGTGACATTAAGAGCGACTCCATTCTCCTGACTAGCGATGGCAGAGTAAGTGCACGTGCATATTTCTATTCATCCATGCTCCTCTTGGGATGCTATCACATTAGTCACTGCTTAAACAGTAATCCACTAAACCCCAGGTAATAATAACCTAAGCTGCTATTCTTTTTCACTGGTCTCACACACACACACACACACACAGTCATTCAACACTCACTGACCTCCATGGGTGCCTGTCCTGCCGCTTGTCAACAGCCAATGCCAGAAACTCATCATCATCCATTACCGCCGTGCCCTAGTAATTAAATCCTGCCTAATGCCTCCTAACGAGTTGATAAGACATGATTAACTGAAGCTTAATTAAGTGCTAATATATGGGATTAGTGTCTTCTGACAAAGCTCTTGATCACAAGAGGTCAGTGCACTTCTGAACTAATATATTCTATTCTGTATGCCCACCAACCTGCTTAGTAGAGACTGGAACCATGTACTGTATATGTGTGTGTTTACAGATCAAGCTATCAGATTTTGGCTTTTGTGCCCAAGTTTCCAAAGAGGTACCCAAGAGGAAGTCCCTCGTGGGCACACCCTACTGGATGGCACCAGAGGTTATCTCAAGATTACCTTACGGGACTGAGGTGAGGACACATGCACAGAAATAACATTATTCTACTGAGGAGTTCAGGAGCATTTCCCTGTATATGTTATGCATGTATGTTTACTGTTCTTGCTGAATAGACTGAATGTTTTTGCGTGTTCAGGTGGACATCTGGTCTTTAGGCATTATGGTGATTGAGATGGTGGATGGAGAGCCCCCTTACTTCAATGAGCCCCCTCTGCAGGCCATGAGAAGGATACGAGACAACCTGCCCCCACGGCTAAAGGAGTCCCATAAGGTAAGAAAAGTCGAAGGCGAGTTCTCAATAAGTAAACGGATCAGACTTTTGCTAACAGCAGAAGAAAATGTTCTTAGAGCTGTCAACTGTTTAGCTGTAAAAACGCATCTCTGTGTGACAGCTCACCAGTCACACCTCAGGTGCAGAGAAGTGCAAGGTAACATTTATGAACTTATATTACAAAAGTACTACAACTCTTTTATTTTTGAGACACATGGATCCTGTAAATATTCATATGAAGCTACGGGTATTTAATTAAATTAAGAGGAAAGACTTCTACAAACAGCTGTAAGCAACAGACCAAAATTTCAGTTCATGTTAATGTGTTTTTTCTAACTCAGATTGCATTTATTGTGAGTATCATTACTCATTACATAACCTAAGACTGGTCTGTGTCTATGTATGAGTATGTAATAATGGATACACCAGAAATATGGCAGTTGTCATATCTGAACAAAATGGGAATTTCAGTAGTTTTAATCATAAACCAAAGTACTGAACTGTTAAGATTTTGGGTAGATCGTAGTGCTAATTCAAAGTAAAGTGAACACCAAAGCCATTACAATTCATTCTAATGGGGACAGAATTTGGTGAGCGGTTGCTGGAAATTGTTGGCAATTGCTAGTGTGAAATTAGCCACAAAGATGTAGTGCACCAAAAACCTCCTTGGCATTGCTTTGGTTTCTAGCAGGTTGCTGTGGTTGCTTGTGCTTTGCATGGCAAGCGCTCCTCACCAAGTGGTGACGAAACTTTGAGAAGTGCAGTCGAAACTGGAAATGCGTTCGCCTTAAAATAAAAGTTTCCCTTTTTGAAAGGTGTTGATTGCAGTGGTACAACCTGTTCTCATGACAGTGCGTTGCAGGCTTTAATCTAATGACTCGTGTTGCTGTTTGTCCCTCGAAATGTCCTTAAAGACGGTTTTATATCAGTCGACACTCACGTGTACCAATTAAAAAACTCAATAATCTGCATTTGGAAGGTCGTGAACAAGTAAGTTGTGTTGCCTTTCAGGCGAGAGACCCAAGTTTGAGTCATACATGTCAATTCTTTTTACGCTTCATTTGTATAATATTCATGCATGTAACTCATCTAGCAGCTTTTAAAAACAAAAAGAAGCTCAGGAAGCTACCAAAATATCTTGGTTTCCATGGTGATGCCTCGCTGTTTTCTACAAAACGTACATGCTTCTGACACTATGTTTCCTATTGAAATACATTACTAAAACGTTCATGTTCCCATGAACACAAAAAAAACAGGAGACCACAGGAATACCAACAAATACAAGGTTGGTTTTTTTTGTGTCACAGCCTCTTTGTGATGACAGCAACGTCTGGCAAAAACACGACAACCAATCAGGGAAGACACATTTCCCACTAGCAATTGGAGGTTGCCGGTGGTTGCTGACTGGTCTAAAGTCATGTGTGACTGACCTAAATGTTCCCAAAGTTGATGAAGAGATCAACATCTGTGTTATCACTAAAAGTGTGTGTGTGTGTGTGTGTGTGTGTGTGTGTGTGTGTGTGTGTGTGTGTGTGTGTTAATTTTACTGCTGTTTTTTTGGCTATGTTATACTCAAACCTAGCTAAGCAGATGAATTCAAACATTTGCTCACATCTCCAGGTGTCAACCGTGTTACGCTCCTTCCTGGACCTGATGCTGGTGAGGGAACCGTCCCAGAGAGCCACAGCGCAGGAGCTCCTCCAGCACCCCTTCCTAAAGCTCTCGGGACCCCCTTCCTGTATCGTTCCCCTCATGAGACACTACCGCCATCGCTGACCTGCTGACTCAAACCCCAGCCCTCTCCTCCACAAAAAAGATTCACATAAACACACCACCAGGGTGGCACTGCCCTCACCCAGCCAAAACACCCCACTGCTTGGTGGTGTGCCACCAACTTTCACACCTGTAACCGTGAAGTAGATTAGCTAGAGGAATATCTAAGACATACATTAATAAAAAAAAATTAAAAAACACAAGACAAAGCAAAGAAGAAAAAAAACTATTGAAACCATGAACTGGAGTAGAAGAGCGTAATGTGCCAGAGGAAACTCTAGACATCCAGTAAACTACGCAGACTGCCTCGCCCTGCTGCAGTCTTCTTTCTTCCCAGACTGTAAGTCTTCAGCGCCATGTAGACTTGTTGTAGCCATCCAGAGCTTCTCAGAGGGGGTGTGACAACATGGAAGGACCCAAAGCGACCAGCGTGCTGCTCCAGACCCGAGCAGCAGAGGGCAGAACAATCAGTGTGAAGAGAGAGCGGGTTTTTGACTGGTCACGACTGTTTACCGCGTCGTCGGTTCATCATAAGGAGCGCAGGCTGCTGCTCAGAGACGAGCTCTCTCGCATCTCTTGTCACACACTAACAGTGAAAATGTATTTTAGAGAAACCTGTAAGTTTTTCTGTACAGTTTTGATAACTTGCAGTATTTTATCGTGTCGTAACCATTGTGATATGAGCGGTATTAAATAGAGTTTCTGCAGAGATCTTTCCTACTGTTTATAATCCAATTTTTGCTTAAAGATATAAGAGATATCCCAAATAAACCCACCTAAAACCTGTTACTAAAAAAAATACTAAATATATTTATTATCTTACATTTGTAGACAGAACTTCCATTAAATGTTGGGAAAAAAGGGTAAGGTCAGAATTTTGTATGACATTTTCAAATATTTATTTATTTATTGGAACTGAAGGTATATTTTTTTGGTAGTGTGGCCTTTTTTGTTTGGTTTTTGTTTTTTGGGGGTTTTTTTGTTAGGTTTTGACTTCAATTTCTAAGAGCGCATTTGGCAGACAGTCGGTTTATCATCCAAGCAATACCCCAGACCTGCTGTATTTATGAATCCATGACGCCCTGTATTTATGATACTGTAACAACATCATGCATTTAAATGTAGCACAGACTGAGTGGATTTGAGAAAGGACAGAAAAAAAAACTAGCTTCACGCAGACTTGTTTTTTTTTATATTAGCAGTCTCACTGTGTTTCTTTCTTAATGCCAAAGAGGCGCCTGTCCAAGACGCCTCCCTACCGCACAGAGTTTAGGATGCTGATAAAAGGTTTTCTGCTCACATCCTCGCTGTCATCATCTCACTCCTTATCCCACCTCAGTCAGTCAGACACACACACTCGCTATCACCGGAGCTTTGCTGCCATTCTCATCTCTAGTTTGGACCAGGAGAACAGTGTTATCCCCTTCCCTGTTTTTACCCATCATTCACTGTGATATGTAAATATGACTGTGTGTACGTGAGCCTGTGCGTCTGCGTATGTCAAAGAGCAAAAGAGGTGGAGAGGTGTTTATCTCTACAGCATCTGAAAGTGTGTGTGTGCGTGTGTGCGTTTGTGCGTGCGCTGCTGGCTAAGCCTTGACAGTGAGTCAAGATTTGAATGAGTAAACACTTATCTGTGGTGTTGGCTTGTATAGTGATATTGCATGTTTGTTATCAGTGAAGCTGGTTTCAATTAAAAAAAACAAAAAACACCCATAAAAACATCAAGATGTGTTGCATGGATTTTTCCTTCATCACCTTATTATGCAGTCGTCTCTTCTTCTTTTGTTTTTTTTAACAGCACACTGTCAGAATATCCTAAAGAGGTCTTTTCAATCATCAACAGTTTATTTTCTCTTTGTTGTTTTTGGGTTCTCATTTCCAACAATTTCACCTGTATTTCACCTCCGAACAAAGAAGCAAAAAAAGACACATTCATGGATCGGTGTTGCCATAATATATTAGGTTATTTCTCCCTCTTCCCTCTAAGCCATTTCCCTCTGAAACACCATAATGGGATATTGATTTAGCTTGGACAGAGAATGGAGCTTCTTTCTCACAGGAAGATCGACAGTGGTCTAGTAAATAAAAACACAGCTACTGGGGCCACTGAGAGTATCAGTGAGGATGACACCAGCTTGTAGAGTCAATGTTTGAGTTAGTGGAAAACACTCATCTGTTCCAAACACAACTTTTGTGTGTGAGTGTGTGTTTGTTTGTTAGTTTTCTAAACAACCTTTGGGAGGTATTTGAAATAGTTTGTGTCTTTAAATGGAATGATTTGTAATGAAGCAATAAAAAACAGATTATCTAAATGTGTTTATATACCATAACAGGCTTGCCAGAGTTGTTAGACCACCTTTGGGCTAGTTCCTGCTGCTGTAGGGTCTCAAGGATTGACACACACACATGCAGCTCTTATTGGGATATTTTTGTTTTATGTTTTGCTGGGTTTTTTAAAAATATTATTAGAAGATTTAAAATCTTTTGATTCATTACTTAGAATTTTTTTAATAATATACTGAAAACAATAATGTACATGTATCTATCTTTGCAGCTCATAAAGGAGAGGCAGAGATTTGCACTGGTTTCTGTAATGTACTGTCCTCCCTGCATTCAGTGTTGTTGTAGGCTAATAAGGTCACGGCCTCAGGTGTAGTGCATGCAGGTTACCTGGTGTTGCTCACTGGACTGGATATGAACTAAACCCTTTTTAACAGCTATGATGCCATCTCCTTATGACGCCTGAACAAGTAAAACTAAAGGGATATGCCCAAATCAAGGAATTTTTTTAGGCCTTTTTCACGCGTGAGACTTGTCTGTAGCTAATGAAAACTGAAGAAAATGGCAGCTTGCCGACCTTCGACAGTAAAAGTCCAACTGGAAAACTTGGAATTTCCTCCAGAATAAAAGAAGACAGGCGGAAGATCGTGGCTGCAGTTTTTGAGAGTTTGTGAAGCTCAGCAACAGGTGAGTTTTCCTCAGTTGTTGTTAGCATGTAGCTTTGTAGCAGAGTGAAGGCCGGATGCTAACTTTTTAGAAGCGTCAACAGCTAATTGAAAATATGTATGTCAAAGTAGAGCATTCCTATCTGTGTTAACAAGCACAGATATCCTGCTTTGTGTTACCCGTCATGTAGTGGTTGAATTTAAAAAGCTTATTCGAGGTTAAACAGGGTAAATTCTGTCTATGTGATGCTCTTTTGTACAGTATGTTAAGCTCAGGTTGCTAATGCTAACACTTAACGTAGCCGCACAATCATGGTACCTCTTTGTAGGCCTACGGGGGATTTAAGGTTAATGTTTTAATAAATGCATAAATAAATACATCCAAAAATCTATGATTTTTAAAAAAATTAAAAGTATATGCTTCGATTGCTATTTGTTACAATATGTGTCAACTTACTTTTTTCTAATGAGTAAGTTATTCTAACATGAAGATAAGTAAAACAATGTAACAGATGTCTTGAGCTATACCTGGCTTCTTTATATTTTCCTTGAAAAATTAGAAATATTGAAATGAAAACATAAATGAACGTTCTTAGGTAGCTTTCTTTTGCTGTCCTTCAGCAGTCTTTAACAATAGTTCTCCAGGTTTCTTTTGTTCTGTTCTCTCAGGATGATCCCACACTGCTTCAGTAATGTCAGGGTGCAGTTCTCTAGAGAGGCCAGTCCATGACTGATATTGTTCCACTGTGTGTGTTTTTTATTCAGGTATGCTTTTACTGCACTGAATGAAAATGAAGCTATTGCCAGTAGCAGTCAGGTACAAAGACTGGGCTGAATGGGATTAAAAAAGCAGCAAAAGCCCAAAGAAAACCTTTGAAAAATCTTCCTGCTATTGCTCAAGATCACTTTGATTATCAATTAAATCTACAGTACTTAACAAAATTATTTGACAACCTATCATTAAAAAAACAACATATTTTCCAAATTTAATCAAAAACTTTTCATATTTTTTATTATTTATTAGGCAAATAACAAACAAAATTCATATTTTATACCCAAATTTGAGCTGGCACACTGAACTCCAGTATACCATTCAACCAATGGCATCTCCATCAAAAATGTTAATATACTTCACTATTTTTTTTCTTCATTTTTGTAAACCAACAATTTATAAATTCACAGATAACAACAATAATTGTATTTTGGCTTTTATATTTGTGTGTGTGTGTGTGTGTGTGTGTGTGTGTATGTGTATATATATATATGTATATATATGTGTATATATATATATATATATATACACACACACACACACACACACACACGTGTGTGTGGTGTGAAAATTGACTTTGAAAATTCAGTAAGTTAAAACAATACATTTCAAATGTCAAAGGAGCTCACAAATTTTTAAGTTAATAACATTTTTGAGTGAAATTAAGCGGACACACAGCTTTATACTTTTAATAAATTTGAGGATTTAAGTTTCCAGTAGTTAGTCTGATTGAGAGGACATCTACTTTGATGAGTTACAACCGAGGATGATGTATAACATCCATGCTGCTGAAACAAATCGGTGTAGAAGACACAAATGTCCTATTTATTTTCAATTAAACAAGACCCAGTGTCAAAATCAATACCTCATCCCAGCAGCGTCTCCTCAGACGGGTGCATCAGTCAATTTTTCTCAGTCACCTTATTTCATCCATCCTTTTTTTGTCTTATTCACCAAAAGATAGGAAATAAAATAGTGATTTATTTTTTCATTAGAGCTGAAAGAATGAGACTTTGTGCTTTTAACACTGTAGTAGATAATAGTGGAAGTAGTTTGACAAAGGAGTAGACGTGAGTCCAGCAATTTATTTAGAACGAAACAGAAGAGTACGGCACAGGATTGCATCAGCAGAAGTTTATGCATAGAATTTGATTCTGAAAATAATTTACATATATTTATAGTTTTTTTTTTTTTCCCTTTAGTAACCTCATTTTCATAAACACACATCTCATCATTCAGTAAAATTCCTCGCTGTTTAGTACATAGCTTGTGTCAGATGGATGCATTTCTTTCTGCCTCTTGATATGTTCTGTACGTCGGTGCGGAGATCAGATTTGCTGAAGTCAAAGCAAAAACTTTGAATGCCACTGTACTGCACACTACAAGACTGTCAACACTATGGTTGCATTCAAAATGTAATAATAAGAGGATTGGCTAAAAAAAATATATGAAGGTAAGCTTATACAGAACCAACAGGAGAGAACTGAAATAATTTATCAGCCATTCCGGGAAGTGAAAGAGAGAAGAAGGTGGAAAGACAGCAGAAGCAGAAATTTCAGACATTTCTTTCAAAGACAAGTTGAATAAGATTAGGCAGAAGTGACCAACTATGATCCAGTGACGCGATGACTTTAAAAAAACAAACATACTATAACTTAGAGAGGTCTGAATAAAATTATTTTCATAAAAGCTTTACTTTTTTTTCTTATTTTAATTAAAACTCTAAGCAGATTCTAGACCAAGATTTAATTCAGTAGCCGGTGAAATTATTGTTTTTTTTGGTGGGTTTACACTCCCAGCTAAATCCATGACAGCTCCCCCCTCCCCAAACTGTCCCATTAATTTATGTTTCAGCTTTTCAAAAGTTCTTGTGGGCAGTACATGCTACACATTTATCAATCGAGGATTCAGCCCAGTGCGGGGGTCACGATTCTCTGTGGTATTAGAGGCCTGGAACAACAAGGAGACAAAGTCTGTCATCAGGTTAGCTTCGGAGAGAGCCGAGGGGAGCCGCTGCTGTGCCGGTTCACTACATGTTCTTGTACATGGAGCGATCTCTGGGGAGCTGGGGCTGAGCCGCTGTCAGCTTGAGGTGAAAGTGGTAGATTGTGAGTATGATGACAATTATTAGGCCCAGAATGAGGCCCAAGATAAGGGGGAGGGTCTCCTCCAGGCGCTCCCGCTGGTCTGTGATGCATTTGTAGGCTGCAGAAAGTAGAATGATACACAGTCTGTATGAGAAGGTGATCGAACGTGACTTACAAAGGGCAAAGATGGTGTGTAGATTATTTCAGAACTTATTTGTATTGCATGCTGGATAATATTTTTTATACCTGAACTATATTGTTATACATAATATCAGGGTATTCTTTTATTCTATTCAGATTTAAGGCTGAACTTCATTTAGTTGTGTGAGTTATATACTTTTCAATGACAATAAATTGAATCCAGTCTAATCAGATGATTGTTTTCTTGATGAACTGAGTTTATTGTCTGGAAAGATTAAATTACCAGAAAAGACTGAGACTTGAACCAGTCAACATATTAGCATTTTTGCTTAGAGGTGACTCAGAGCTGTTTGATTTTCTGTCGTCACTTAGATAACTTTGGATGTTCTTGAAATGCATTAATGTCCTTCAGCCTTTCTGCTTGTAGTTGTTGACATGAAGGAGACACACACGTGGCATCTCACAAGTTTAGTCAAGCATCTCTGTTCTCTGGACTTTTTCTCAGGGTGGCTGTAGCTCAGAAGGTAGAGCAGGCCATCTATTTATTGGAAGGTTGCTGGTTCAATGCCTGGTTGTGTTCATCGGGTTTGTTCTACTTATGTGCAACGCAAGGTAGAATTCTAATATTTCAACAAAATTAACAGTTTTGTTTTTTGTTATTCTTTTTTTGCACAATTGTTGTGATGATCACAATAAGTCATATCTCTTTTAGTTAGACTTTTTTCCTCTTTTGTGCATTTTATAGTTTCATACACTGGTGTTTGTGGGAGTGGGATAGGACACCTAAGCCATCATTGGATGTACAGTATGTATATGGGGCTTAAAGTTGAAGGTGCTTCTCCCTGTGGACAGCAGTTATATACACTAGGAGAAAGGCAGTGAAGCATTGCACAGCCTAGTTTACAGCAGCTAAGGGACAAATGATTCTTACAAGGTGATTGGACAGAGAGGTGAGTACGTCTATAAAAGCTGCATTCAGGGCAAGGATATGACTGCACTCATAAACTCCTAATGACCCCCCACCCCCACCCCCTTTTTTCTCTCTCTCCCTCTCTCTGCATCTCTTGTGTCCCCACCTCCTCTTTTTCCTCTTGTCACCCTGGCGTTTTCTCTGCAGCCCTCATACTGCAGCAATAACACCCCCCAGAGAGCTCTGTTTGCGAGTCAGCAAGAGAGACGTACAGCTGTAGCACTCTGAACCCCCAGTATTTCTCATTATCATCATCATCATCTCTGTTGTTCCACGAAATGTGTGACCAGAAAAGCATGACAGTGTGTATGGCAGCAATCGGGCAGTTTTTCGTCAAAGGGGTTTTCTGTTGTGCTCTTACGTTCACTGAACATGAAGTCAGATGCGATGTCAAAGGGCTGGATCTGGATGTCATACATGGAAACGGTGATGCCCTTCTGGTGGTCACTTGAGATAAGAGTGAGGGTCTGCTGTGCCGTGCACACATAGGAGCGCCCGGCAGGGGTCACCAGGGCTGACAGCCGGTGGGTGCTGGCTGTGTGCTTCCCAGCTGGAGAGAAATGAAAAGGGGGGGGCGTGTTGTGAGTGGAATGTGAAGGAGGACATTATGATGCAACCAACACTAAGGTGCTTGTGTATGTAACTGACCTCTGGTTTAATGTGGAAAGGATATCCAAGTTAATAACTTGAAACATTCAAAGTATAATATAGGTGGCTCCTGTTGAAATTCTCCAAAAAAATTTATTGAGTAACGAACAAAGTCTATTGGGGAGTAATTGTTTTTTGGAAGAGGTCCGATTTATTCATCCGGGTTTTTTTTTCTCACTCAGTTGTTTAAAAAATAAAAATGTGTAATCTCAGCTAAAAGTCACAGGGTGAAAAAATAAAAAATAATTAAAAATTAAATTAATTTTGCTAAAACTCTTAATTGATGTTGGTGGGCGAAACTCCTACATTCCTACACGAATCAGCCTCTAATTCCAGCTGCTGGGAAATGAATGAGGGGAAGTTGCGCGATGGAAATTGCTGAGTCTGAGACTCACGGTTGTATGCGTTGATGAAATGCGATGTCTCCGAGGTGTCGTAGACGAACTGAACCTTGCTAATCTTCCACACCTCGATGCCCTTGTCACGGAATTCCTGCAACACACGGGGAGACATAAACACTCACGCACACATGCGTCAAACGACGGGGAAGGTGATTTGGCCTGCGCTCGCGAAAAACTGAGTTACTCGATTTTTTTTTAAGACTTTTGTGTTGAAATCTTTGGGAAATTACCAAATTCTGATACATTTGTTAAATTTACTGGGAACGTTTCTTTTAAACCAGAACCAGTAGATTTAATTATATTTAAATCACGGGATTTGCACTAATTTTACACAGGCTATACGCGCTGTTTCTGCGTGTCAAACTAATGTAATTGGCAGCCAATTTGTGAATGCACGCATTTTCTTAAGACTTATGGGGATATTTTGGTTACATTTCATGTAGTGTAGATACATTATTTTCGTTTACTCGCCTTGGAAAAGTAGATGCGGAGGATGTAGGCGTTGTTCTTCCAGGTTATGTGGATCTCTGACTCGGTGCTCCCACATTTCCCCTCGATTTCTGCGCCACGGGGGAGAGTGAATGACGCCTGCTCGGTAATCAGCTGCAAAAACATTCAGCAAGCGTCAAGGTGGCAAACAGCGGACTGAGCATTATCTGTGCGCCAGATTGCACTGTAGTGGTATATAATACAACTGCATGATTCTGAATTTTTTTTTTTTAATTAATTTTAATCTCTTTTAAATGTTTCGAAAAGTTTGCTGTTATCCGTTCTTTATAACTGGACTCATAAGAGAGAGGTCAGCATTTTGCGCACAGCCGTGGGTCACAAACGCATATTTTAAATTTATTGTAGGCCTAAATTTATTTAAATTAACTTTCTTCTTAACAGGAGTTTAAAGAAATCACATTGAATACAATGTAAATATTTTACATCTTAAAAATCCCGTTTCCGATGTTTCGATCCCTTTTACGCACAAACCAAAACGTTTAATTTTAAGCGGGTTTCTCTCATTCCTGAAGCATGCGTTGTATTAAAATTCAGTGGGGATTCCTTACGTCTATCCCGTTGAGTGCAAGCACGTCATATGGCACGAGGAATTTTACAGCGAACTCCACCATGAGACATGTTGTGCCGTTCTCTCGAACCGCGAAGATGGCTTTGTCCGGGTTGTTGGAGAGACCGGACAGGTTTTCACCTTCCTGCTCAGCCAGCACCACGGACAGCGCCAGCACACCTGACGACAAGAACAGAGGAGGTGAGCCTGGTGACAAATGGCTCGCAGACACACTCACGCACACATTTGGGCCACCCCTGAAAACATGCAGAATCAGCAGAATCTGCGTCGTAAACGACTGGAGTTTAAGCTGAAGCCACCTGGCATCTTTTAGATCACCTCGGTTTCTGGTGACAAAGTCAAAAACGGGTTAAAAAACCGAGAGTGAAGTCTGCAGTATCAGGGGAGCAACAGCACATCACGGACTGCAGTAAGAACAGCCTCAGGAAGTGACAAAACTACAACTCTTCTTACATTTGAAGCTCTTTTTTCCCACCCAAATGAGGAGATAAATAATGGGTGAAATACGCCAACTCATGGAAATATAAGAACACGCGCGCACACGGAGCCAGTAGTGGCCAGACACAAGCAGTGCACGTGCACGCCCATACACTTACACACACTGCAGTAAGGAGTCACGACAGCTTCACACACACTTTCTTACCAAACACAGTGAACAGCAAAAGTCGGGCGCTCTCCGTGGTGCTGAAACCGAGACGTCCCATCGCTACCAGCTTCCCCGGAGCAGGAAAAAGAGCGGGGGCTAAGTGACTGGGCAGCCGGTGCTGAACCCGCGAAAAGAAAAGAGAGAAAGGAAGGCAGTGAGGGGAGGGAGAGAGAAAATGACAAAAAGAGAGAGCGAGAGAGAGAAATGGGGGGTGGGGAGAGAGAAAGAGAGGAGGATTGCCTCTTCTCAGCGCCAAGAAGTCACGCTCAAATCATCGTGAATGCTGCAGGAAAGAAAAAAAAGTCTCCAGGTTGGGCGTGAGATCCGGTTTGCGCCGCAAAAGCTGCCCGGCACCGAGGAGTTCTGGCTATCCAAACAGACCTCTCCTTTCAAGGTTGACAGGCTTTAACCCAGCGACAGCCTCTGCACGTTATTAACGTCACGAAGAATGATCCCTCTTTTTTTTTTTTTTTTTTTTTAAAGGAAAGAAAAAGTCGCTTAAGTTAAAAATGATCGCGGCATGCAGTGTCAGTTATTCCCGCAGTGCTGTGGTATCCATGTCTGTGGTAAAGCGACTGCAGGTTGGGGTTGAAATGATGGATGTCTGGAGGGAAACACCGACAAAACCTCTCCCCCTCCTCCCTCTCTCACTATCTCAAACTCCACTTGTGCAAGGTTGAAGCCAAGTGCGTTTGAGAGCGAGAGCTACAAAACGCTCATAATGAGATTATCACTCTTTCTCTGCCAAAATAAGAGGGGTGTGAACCCGGCACCGGAATCAGTACAGCACTTAGCTTTCTCTAACTTTACACAAGGATGATTTTGAACCCACAAGATCAGAGAAAAATCTGCGATTATTGACCTTATGGAATTAGGGCAAAGTGTGAATAAATGTTTTATGTAACACTCACTACCACAAGCCTTATCCAGGGTAGATGCCACACAGACGCATAGACATCAGATTTAGACTTTATTTGATGTTAAGGTGTACTGGAAGATACAGAAAAATCTCACAGCACAACAAGCTTATGCTATACATAAATAATACATATTGTGTATGGCACATCACCTCTTCACCTTTGATGAACACTCCACCTACTTTAAAGGGAGTGGCATATAACACCGGACAAAGTTCCAACCATATACTGACACTACAGCATGCACAGTCGTAAGGCTGCGAGGTACTACGCAAACAGTTTGATTCATTTGTACTTTAAATATGGGTGTAAATGTAAAACTTTAGTAGCATGGATTTATTGTTTCCACTCCAAACGGAGTAGAACAAAGATGAATGCGTTCTGGTAACTCTCACGGAAATTACCGGAGTTTTGAAAGTCATGTCTAAACGATCTTTGTGGGAATCCGTTCTTAAAGTAACGCGGGCAAACACGCTTTTTAAGCGTTTGTTTTTCTCACATGAAAGTCAAACTCGCACTTGACGGAGCTGATGCTGTCGATGCTGGCTTTGCTGTCGACCTGAGGATGTTTTTTAACAGCCTGTGGAAAAGTTTCTGATCGCGGAATCCGCATTGAAAATGCCGTCGGATCCTGTTCCAGCTCTTTCGCATCCTTTTCAAACTCCGGGGAAGTAAAGCGGCGCAACATTTTGTTGCTCAATACAGAGAAAGTCGCGGCTGCAGATGAGGCAGTCGGTGCCTGGGGAGGTTCAGCCTTGCCGGGAGACCATTCGCGCCTCCTCACGGTTCTAGATTTACGCAAAGGGACCAGAGTGCGCTCAGGAGGTGCGGGGCTGAGCATGCTGGTTGGCAGGCTGCACCTTTTCTTATAATAGCTGTCGGGAAATCTGTGTAGACCGAAGTCTAACATTTTGGTTCGTTCTGTTGCCAACTCATTCTCACTTTTGTTGGCAAGAATGGGGGTCATTAAAATGCCCAGAGCAGAGGGCGCGCTGGGTCTGTGGCTGTTTCTGCTGGGCCGAGGCGAGAACAGTGTGGATCTTTGAGCCTCACAGCCCATCGTTAGAGGGGGGAGGGGGTCATCTGAGGTGGTCGGCCTTCCCTCGGTTTTCGGATGCTTAAGGTTGGGAGAAATACAAGGACTGGGTGCAAGGGTCGAGACTTCAGAGAGGACCAGATCAGGTGGAGGCGAGGAGGCGCCTTCGTTCTCCGTTTCAAACTCCTCTATCGAGTTCATGGATGGCAACCCGCTCCGCTTTATCCGCGGGATTGGCTGCCGGGTGCAGTTTGGAGCCAATAGGCAATGAGCATGATTACACGCTCGGAGGACCTCCAGTCTGTCTGCTAAATGTCCAACCTTCTTCTCCAGCTCGCCGGGTCGCAGCTGCGCACTTCCACGAGCGCCTCCGTCCTCGCGGCCCTTTTTGGAATTGTTGGTGAGAGCGCAGATGCATTCAGTGTGACCAAGAAACTTTGCCACTCCAATAGCAGAGTTGCCAACTTTGTTTTGTCGGTCTATCTGAAGACCCAGCCTCTTGAAAGCTCTCACCAAAAACTCGACAACGTGCGCGTGACCTGCCACCGCGGCGTACATGAGCGCTGTGTTTCCCCACGAGTCTACAATCTCCGGGTCCGCGCTGTTTCGGACCAGGATCTTCACCGCGTCCAGGTGTCCCTGCTCACAGGCGTGACTGAGCGCTGTGCGCCCGTTTCCGTCCCGGCAGTTGACGCTGGCGCCTCTGTGCAGCAGGAGCTCTGCAAACTTACACCGAGCCTGGGCATCGGGCAGCAAGACAGAGGAGATGAGGGGAGTCTGTGCGCCCTCCGCTTTGGAGTCCACGATTTCCCCATCCAGCGCATCCAGAACAAACCGGGCCAGGTGGACTTTATCCTTGGAGATCGCATCCAGGAGGATCTTGGTGCCTGTTTTCCCGTTAGACTTCCCGGGAGCTTTTAGCATGTTTATTAGAAGATTATTATCCAATACGTTTATTAAAATTTATTTACGAAAACTCATCTTTCTATTAGTAGAACAGGTTTGGAAAACCTCTTTCCCCCCAACGATTGCTGACAAACAAAGCCTCCACCCTAATTTTATAGTGAAAGGGAAGCTACGGAGGAGTTGCCGGGCAACGCAAACATAATTAGCCTACCACGCTTTGTTCTTCTTTTCTAATGGAAATACTTTGTTTACAATGACATAAAAAAGAGCGTCAGCACTGGAGCCGCCTGTGTTCAAGAGAGGACCTGGCTTATCAATTCACTTGTTGAATGTGATGAGACGGCAGTGGTTATTATTTGTGGGGGGGCGTGGGTGGTGTGCTTGTGCCCTACAGTGTGCTTTAGAACACAATTATCAAATCAGAGAAGATGAATAATCCACATTACAGCCGGGAGAGTATATGGTAGCATCTGAATGAATCACATTTTCAGTGACATCATTGGTGCAGCTTAACTACAAAACTGGCAGCACGATGTTTCAGCATTCCAACTAACAAAACATGCTTACCTCACTGATATACGTCTTCCTCTGGCCTGCAGTGTTTTCTAATATCCTCGATTGTTTTTGTGCAATGTTTCTCATGTAAAACTGTAAAAAAGCTAAGCAAACAAAATAAACTATTTTCTTTCTGCAAAGTTTCACTATGACTGCAGAAAGACTGCAGGGCTGGTGGTGGTGATAGTGTGACAGCATCTTAACATTTATGGTGCCCTCCTCAGATGAGCTGCACAAATGACTGCATGGTTGGGAGAAAGTTTATTTATTTAGGTTTCGGTAACTAGGGCGCAATATTATTAGTGCTGTGTAATACTGTAAATTTAGGTATCAATCCAAAAACCAGGTAAATACAGGACCAGTGTTGCTGACGGCAATAATATTTTTAACTTATAAAGGCAGCTTATGTAGGTGAGAGCAGTGTGTCGTAACTTATGAGGAATCCACATCATTTCCAAATTCTGAACATTAATGACACTAAATCCCTGCACTTTTTACTTTCCACTTTAGTTAATACAACAAAACGCACCTTTCAGATTTTCATGTATTTTAAAACTGGAGCCCTGCGATGTAAATGTGCCCATCTTTAAAGCACTTTAGGTCGACTGTTTTTAAATGTGTTAATAATAAATAAAAAAGGCTTGATTTAGCAAAAACAGGTTCAGGGATTTTTCGTAATGAATGTTTGAGGTGTTTTTTTTCATTCCACCAAAAAAAGAAGATAGGATCGATACTAGTATGAATCCAATACTAACACCTGCGTTGGTATTGACACTATCGATATTTGAATCAATGCACTTTTATGTATACACTTTGCGTACTGCAAGGAAAAAGCTATTTAGTTCTTTTATATTCAAGCCCAGGCAGACAACTCTACAGCTAATATTTTGAAAACCAGGCAAGCGTAATGTCTTTATATTTATACTTACACTTTCCTAGTCTAACAGACTACTCAAAGTAGCTTTAAGTAGCAAATCACAATTAACTATGATGCTTTATTCTGCTTTATCTACCTCACATCTACTATCAATTTAGAATCACTACTTATTCTAACATGCATGGCTTTGAAGGAAATCGGTGCACATAAAGGAAACAAAGGGAAAACATGCTAATCTCACTCAGCCAGCATTTGAGCCAGGAACCTTCTTGCTGCTGCACGGCAACAGTGTTAATCACTCTACTATTTACTTCAATGCAGTTCAAATTGTATTTATATAGTTCACAACAACTGTAACATCAAGGTGGTTAATATTGTAAGGTAAAGTGAGCCATCTGCCCTGGGGCATTTTGAGGGGCGGGCGGGGGGTTAAGGAGAGAGCAGACATGACAAATGACACTATGGATACGTTGGATAAACAGAAGTACACGCCTGGGGAAATGTACATGGTTTTAGCAGTACTGTACTTTTCCCCCCCAATTGGAAATATTTTATTTCCCTCAAATTCAACAAGGTTAGGTCAAACACAAAGAGTACGTTCTGAGGAAAACACAAATGAGCCACGTAATTATGTCCCATTTTACACCTGGATTTATTGAGACACATACTATAAAACAGTATTAAAGGAGCTGGATAACAACAGTATTTTCATTGCTATAAGTTCAACAGTACAATATAAATACAAAAACACGCACAGAATGTCTGTCGACAAGCTACAATTCAAATAGAAAATAAAGGAGATACAGTAGAAACTGAGGAAATGAAATCAGTGATGTTGCTCTGCAAAAATAATCTGCTTTTTTGACAAACTCGAGAGCCAAAGGTTACATGTAAATCACACAACAGAAACATTCAACTAGTGCAAAAAAGCTTCTAACATAATCATCTTAAACTACACATTATCTAATATATAATATATATTCATTTATTTATATATACTTTCATATAAATAACCCCTTAATTTGGCATTTTATCATTCATAAAATAATTTAAACATCCTAACAGACACCGAGTGGCACATTTGAAAGCGATGGAATAAAATTTAAAAGCACTTTTACTCATTTATCTCTACACTAGATATGTGGTGAGAGCTTTATATCGTGTTGTGTGGTGCAGTATAAGGGCAGACTGGAAAACAAGAAAAGAAAAAGAACAAACTCAAAAACAAAACAATGGTTGATCATTTTTCCCTCACCCAGCAGACCCACTCAATCCCCAAGCCCTTAAATGGCAGAACACAACTGGTCCAAAAGTAAATTAAACTACATACATTCCAGTATATACAAGAATATCCCATCTACCCTTTACATATAACACAGCAGAATAAAACAGGGGGAAAAAAACAAACAAACAAAACTTTTTAAAAAAGGCCAAAATACCCATAGGTGCCTTTATCCTTAATGTTTTTATATCATTACATGACTTTTTTGTCAGTTTAGTCAATGTTAGTGTTACATTATAACAGTACTGCACATCACACTTTTAATTCTCTGCAGAGGCATCAGGGCACAGTACCACCACCTCCAACATCACCTCTGTAACATCGTTAGGGAGGGAACCTGCTGTAGACAGGAGTGAACACCAGAGACTTCTACGAATCTGTTATTCGGTCCACCCTCCTATAGCCAGAGCAGGACAGGGAAACTGCGAGGTTTACAAGCTGAGGGTGCTCAGGTGCAGTCAAGAATCTATAAAGGGAGCACTAGCATTCAACAATGCTGTAATAATGACAAGACAAAGAGACGGCTGCCAGCCAAAGTCAGATAGAGGAATGGGCGACAGCAAGTGTGGAATACCGTTTACTGTTACAGCTATGAGGGAATTATCTTGTTTGCATAGTGTACGTAGAGTACCAAAAGTATTGCAGTTTAAACTGTACTCATGGAAACGTGTAAAATACATGTAAATGTAATTTCCAAGTGCAAAAGAAGCACAGCTATTAAACCATCTCATGAGTACCTAAAATTAAAGTAAGTGAAACAAAAAAATTTGATTGAGGGATTAGCATGTATTCCCTGTGATCCCTTTATAGTATTCTGACTCAGCGTGACAATAAACCTTTTTATAGTCATCAAAAAGTCAATAACATGTCTTTGTGATAAGGTGGAGGATTGTGTAACATGGAGGGAGAAAGGGGGGTGGGTGTTGCCACTCTTAATACAACAATTTTATTTTTTTAAAAATACATTCTTACTGAAAACAGAAAACCTACAGTAGTGCACCGCTACATGTTCCGTGTTTTTGTTAGTTTTTCTTCTCTTTTTCTTTTTTAACTTTTTTTGACAGCCTATCAGATACAAAGTGCTCAGGACACGACTGGTGTAGCATACAGTGTATTTCTCATACAGTTGATTCATTTGTGCTGAAATGACATTAAATCTTATACATACTCTTCATCCCTCTGTTTCTGCAGCGGTTCATTGGATACTGCTTTTTTTTTTCCTTCGCAAAAATGGTCAAATTGGGAACAGAGCCTGTTTATGTGACCTGTCATGAGCCGGCGTGTGTGTGTGTGAGGAATTTGGTGTATGTGTGCTTGTACTAAGTACTGCTAATATCTGAAGAGAACATACAATGTGATGGCAACAGAGAATTTAGATACACTAGAGGAGACGACGTATTTTCCTGTGTGTTCTCTGAGGTAACGTTTCCTGTCTCGATAAGTGGTTAATCCCCCCTGACAAACGGTGATAAGCACCAATGGCTCAGTGGTATAAAGATAGTAGTTGGAGAGCACACGATGCATGGCTGAGTGAACAGAGCAAAAGAAGAGGTGTAGGGCCGGGGCTGCTGTGTGTCTGAGCGAACATAAATAAAACACAGAAAGTGATGTAGGAAGGTTTTCATCTCTGGACTGTAGAGGGCTTTCTGTGGAGTGTTTTCTGCACAAGTGTGAATGTGTCTTCCCAGTCTCAGCCGCTCACACCACTGTGGCAGGTCTGCGGTCCATCTCCTCCTCCAACTTCACCATCTGCTGCATGTCCTTCGTCTTGGAAGAGATGGAAGACAGTTAAGACAGACAGACACCTTCTTTTAATGTGTGCAAGTGGAAGATTTTCTAGTGGATTTGTACAACTTTTGTGATCAATTTGTGTTCAACTTTTAGTAAACAATTTATCAGTATGGGCTTCAGATTTCAGGATTCTGTTGGGTGTATCTCTGAATTGCTTGGCAGGTAATAAAGCCACATGCTTAGTTGGAGTAATTGTTGCCTCAGTGGGACACAGTGACATACTATGAAAGTAAATGATTATGAGCTGGAGTAGAAGCACAGGAGCAGGTTGTGAGCTGGCTGTTTTTACTACGTAATAGCTGGTGAGTCATGGTGATAAATGACTTGAGCTTCTAGTTGGCACTCCTGACAGCGCAAGAGCTGCAGACTAAAAATGTGGGAGTGGAATTTCATCATACAGAGGAAAGAAACACTTTCTATTTCAAACTGTGCAAATCTCTTCAAAGACAGGCCTGTCGTGTACTATTCCCCTGCTGTACTCAGGGCTGAGTCACTTGAGTAGATCATTATACCAATCATTTAGATAGCAGATAAGTCAAGACTTAAACAGGCTCGGTGAAAAACGTGACTAAGAGGTAGGAGGAAAAGACGTGAAAGGAAACACGATCACTGAATGATGCAGTGAGAGAAAGGTGATGTCAGAGGTAGAGATGAGGGGAGATGGCGATGCCTACCTTGAACCTGTTTGTTTGCATGGTGTGATTTCAAAAGCTGTGCCGGAAGAAGCAAATCAAATTAAAAGAAAGGAAAATGTGCATACATGTGAAACATGTACAGGTACTATGACAGATGGTAAAATAAAATGCAAAAATGGGGACATGATGACGTAAACCGTACTTTCTTCTATTTGTAATGTCGGGAAAAAAAGACGCTGATATTATAATCTGGCTTTTTTGTTTGTTTCATTTCAGCAGTTTTGTTTATCTTTAGTAATTCAGGGCAATTCTGATCCTAACTTTGGGGGAAAATTCTTGCATAAATACTAATTATATCGCAAGCAATAACAACAGCAGTCAATATGTCAGTGAAGGAAGTACAGTTGTGTTTAGAAGTTTACAAACCCTCATCATGAGCATTAAAAGCATTTGTTTGACAGCACTCACTGGATTTACCAATATGCAGAACAATGGGAAAGTCCAGTGAACTCAGTAAAGATCTAAGAAAGAAATCTGTAGATTCACACTAGTTAGGAAAGTCCCTCTCAGCCATTTCTGGTACTGGTACATTACACAAAGTGGATGGAATATTGAAGAAGAGTGACTACCTCCAAATTCTTAAATTTCACCTCAAATCAACAGCTAGATAGTTGAAAGTTGTGCCCACTAGGTGTGCTGGAGGAATATATACACAGAGGACTGGAATGTGAATGTCTGACTCTGAAATTCAGAGAAATTATCTCCACTAAAGATACATGCTTTACATTCATTCTACCCTGGAAAAAGTTAGTGTTAAAAAAAAGTTAAAAGCCCGAAATTACAATGACAGTCATGCCCATGATGAGGGAATGTAAACTTAAGACAAATGTATCTAGAACATTTAACTAGTCCCAAAGCTTGAGTGTCATTTATACTTTCTAAGCCGGTAAAGCAAGAAGCTCCTTGAACTGAGGAATGTTCTGATATGAGCAGGATATGGTCCAATACTAAATGCTGGGTTTAAACAACAGTGTTAACAGCTTAGATAGGTGACAGCAATCACAGTTACTGCTATCTAGATCAATTTACACTGTAGTGGCAGTAAAAGGTAATTTCCTTCTATGTACCTGCTCATTGAACTTCTCCAGTTTCTCCAGCTGCTCTCTCTGGTTTTTCTGTAGCTGCTCCATCTCCTTCTGATGCTTCATAGCCAGCTGCAGAAACATGGAGACAAAGGCAATAAACTAAATTGTCATAAATAAATAGCAATGTTTTTTATTACAATGAAATATGTTTTAGTAGGGGGAGTCATTTGGAGCATTTGATTCAAGATTAATGATCATTATGCAACACTGGGTTGTAAAACAAAATTCTGATGTCGTCACAAACAAGAATGACAGGCTGTCTCAGCCTGAGGAAAGAAACTACTCTGAGGTTGAGCGCTGCAGGAGCAACAACTTCTTTATCACTTGCCCAATGGCAGCAGGGTGAACAGACTGAGGGATATTACACTTTGTATTTAAATTCCAACAATGTTAATCCAGTGCACAGGCTAAAGGAATAATGATTGAAGTGCTCTTCAGCTGAGGAACAAAAAATAAACATCCTACCCGCTTCCTCTCATCCAGGAACTTCTTGGTGTTGCTGCTGTTTAGCTCCCGCACTCTCCTTCAGAGCGGAACAAAACCATCACAACATGAAGTTACAATGAGCGCTTAAGAGCCCCAAAACAACGACTGAACGATTACATCACGGGCGTGACCCACCTCTCTCGCTCTGCCTTATTTTTGATAGTCTTGTCCTGGCTGATGGCTTTACTGTTTTCCATGGACATCTTAGCCTGGTTGGCACGCATCTCTTTGCTCTGCCTGCATTGTGGAACAAGCAGCTGCATATAAGACAAGTTGTCTGCATCCAATTTTTGGCAATAAAATCTCAGAGTTGCTGCCCCAAATGATCATGTCTGATCACTCGCAGTAATCCATCCCTATGTGTGTGAGCAAGCTGTGCGGGTCTCTCACCTTTCATGAATGAATTTGAGCTGCAGGGTCTGCTGCTCCTGGACAGTGGCCAAGAGCTTCTTGAGGTGTTCACACTGCTGGGTGACGTGGCTGTCCTTCATCTCCTGCTCCTCACTGCTGTGACTACTGATTAGCTCTGACCACTCTTTGGTGTGCTGTGCTGTGATGTCCTTTACCTGCATGCGAACACACGAGCGCATTAATAACTCACAGCTAAGATACTTGTCATCCTCACATCTAATAATAGCTTTGTGGATAGAGCGTTTGCTGTAAGTTACCTTGGTTTTATGATCAGCAACTAGCGTTTGAATCTTATCTTCTGTCTCCTTCTTCAGCTCTTGGCAGTTGTTTTCACTGTAAGGAACCCACATGTACAAGTGGACAAGAGAAGTTTAGTTGAATTGATCTTAAGGAAAGGAGTCAAGAGGGGTGGGCAAAGTTAGGTATGTCTTTGATTTGTCTCTGTGCATAAATGGTTATTTGCAAAGCTTCATATCACACATGGAGCTTTATAGAAGCAGTGTCGAGTCTTGCACGGGGACCTCCTGTCCTCTTTGTGTGCTCTGTGCAGTTTGACACAGCTAATATTATTTTTTGAGCTCTAGATGTCGAGGTTTGCCAGTGTAGCAGGCAGAATAGAACCCAAATGCAGGACTCTGGAAACTAGAAATGAACTCAATAACACAGCTTTAATGGTCTACAGGGGGAAAGAGAACAAAAAAACATTCACTGAGCAGGAAAGAGGCAAACAATAAATACACACAAGGCAGTTAGGGAGAAACACAAGGGAACATAGCTGCAACAAATCAGGAAAACTAGACAGGTAACTTAAAACTCAACATGAAGCACACAAGACTATCAAAATAAAACTGGAGCTAACACCAAGACACAGACCCAAATCTCAGAATTTGACAGAGACAAAAAGATAAACAAACAGAGACAAGACTGACTTCACAAGGGAGACACTAAAGGACAAAACACAGAGATGAGACTAGTGTGTGTGTGTGTGTGTGTGTGTGTGTGTGTGTGTGTGTGTGTGTGTGTGTGTGTTTGCTTTTGTCTCCACCTACCCTCGTTTCTTGATGGCTTTCTCTAGTAGCTTCTCCAGAGTTACCTTCTCCTTATCGTGCAGAGACACTATCTTGTCCACCTGAGTGCAGTGAGTTTTCTGCATTGTATTTTGATCCTAGTGCAGAAAAGGGAGACACGTTTATTATTTATAATTATTATTTATTATATATAAGTATTTACTTATGCCATGCAAATGCAGTTTTAACCTATATTGAAACCAATTTGGAATCAGCACAACAGGCAGCAGCAACAACAACAACGATTATTGTTTGTAATACACTCATGTTGATTTTGTTGCTCCCCCTGAATAATGAACCAGCAGCTTTCTTTTTTTCAGCCAACAGATGGGTCTGCAGGTACTGATATACATATGTTAAGCAACAGGACTAAATTCTGTGATGATTAATCTGCATGTATGACTGAGCCAGCAGCCAATATAAACTGTGCCGATCGCTGTTTGAAGAAAAACAGCAAATCATTATGTGTCTGGATCTATAGACACTTCTCAGTATTTTAACATATGTGCCTTCTTTACTCCTGGGATATAACTCAAATCTCCACAAATCCATCCCTGAGAGGAAGGGAAAAGGAAAAGCTTGCAGTAAAGAAACAGTTGTATAATTTCCTGCATCTCTCTTATACAGACTTGCTTTGTGCAGCCAGGAGACACTAGAAGCAATATGACACATTAGCATACTCAGAAGCACCCTATGTACATTATGAATGGACTGTGTGTGTGTGTGTGTGTGTCTGTGTGTGTGCAGTCAGTGGTCAGTGGAAGATGAAAGGTAGAGCCGCCTCCCCTTCCACCGTTTCTATCCCTCTGAGCATCAATAACTGTCAGGAATAAACAGCAGCCCCTTTGTATTATTAGCAGACAGGTCTGCAGTAAAACAGTCACCCACCTTTGAGTGTTTCTTCTTTAGAGTGTTGAGCTCCTTCTGCTGCTTTTTAATCAATTTAAGGTACGACTGCAGTGGGAGAGATCCATGTTTAGTCACGATGTACAATATACTAGACTCAGGCAGCATTAATAGTTGGCGTGCAGTTACTTCCATGAGATAATTGTGAGTTTAATATTGGTGCAAAATCATAACTACAATAGTATTGGTTATTACTAAAATATAACACAAAGTAGTTATTGTTTTTTAGGTCTAAACATGATACAGACAATGTCAACACCTGAAGCAAAGATTACTTCTATATAATTGCTCATTTTCATACATATGCCTGTACAGACTAAACTAAAGGAAACCTGCTGCTGAGCTATGTGACAGGAGTTACAATACCAACCTTCATTTGCTTTAAGTCATCAATGCTGACAGTAGGCACGAGTGCGTTATCTGAAACAGCAGTGGAAACAAATGTTATTCTGTGTTTACATAGTTCGCATACAGCATGTTTAATATGTCTGTCTTTACGTCAGCGTATACCCTTCTTGGCTTCGGTCGTGTTATTTTGGGCAGCGTTGGAAGTCTGGGCCATGTCTGAGCTGGCTTGCGGTGTCACACTGGTTTTCACGGTGTCACCTTTACCCTTCCCTTTCTTGTCGTTTTTTGAGCTTCCGCTGGGAACATCTGCTATGTCGTTCTACAAAGGAAAAGAGACGCATTTATTCAAACTGGCTGCATCCTTTCATCAGATACATGCGATCAGACCAGTTTTGGATTCGTATGGGCGCCGCTTCCAAACCCATGTGTACCGTGTCAATTCCCAGTGCTTTCATCTGGTCAGCTCTCTTCTCTGCTATAGTCAAAAACTTCTTTGGGTCTGATAGAGCATCCACAATAGCTGAAACACAAAGAGATTTAGAAGATTTCGTCATGAGCCTGGTGGGCTGAATGAATAACCTGACGCTGAAATGTGTCATTCAGTGCAAACTTTGTATGACACAGCTTTGCGTTCCTGTCTACGTTCTGAGAAAGTCTCCTTATCAAATCTGAAATCATCTTCACGTCTTGTTTAAATAACCGTTACTAGGGAACAGGATCTTATTTTCAGCTCTTGGTAAAGAGCTGCTTGAGTAGGAAAGTGATAGCGACAGATCTTGCAGAATAACCACTAATGGTTACAGTAATGATTCCTCAGTGCGAGCCCGTTGGCTTTATTTAATGACAACTCCAATTGTCCTGCTCATTTGTATGCTCGTGCCTGTTCGAAACCATTACTGCAGAGTCACTGTCATCATCATTTGTGCCACGCCATTACTGTGAATGTTAAAACCAAGGCAGAGAAAAAGCGAGCAGGAGAGAGTTTTCTTGCTTTCCTTTCTCCTCTCCTCTCCCTGCAGGCTACAGCAGCTGCTTTATTATACTGCTCTCAGAATACTTATGGCGGATATTAAAGGTTATCTATACAAAACAAACTTATAGTTCTGTTTTACCCATGCACTGAAGTCTATCCAGTAATATAAAGTACATTAAGTGCTGCAATTTGTGTGTTTCCCTCACCTCCGAAGCCGTCGGGCACGTAGGTCTTGAGGATGATTTGGCAGAAGACGGTGGGCAACGACAGCGGCTTGTTGCCTTCGTTTCTCAGAGAGATGTGGCGGTAGCCAGCCTGCAGGCCGTCAAGAGGCAGGATGCGCTGCCCAATCAGCTTATTGTTGTCGTCGTAGACTGCGATGCGCAGCACGGCCAGGTCTGGTAAGATCACCTAGAAGGAAGGCATGAAGGGAAACAGTGGGTAAGAGGGAGGAGTAACCACACTGAAAAAAAGGAAAAAGAAACGTTGCCATTAGTTCTGCCGACATTTTGGAAGTGTACTGAGCTCATTCTGCTCTGATAATGTTTAAAAAGATAAATATTTGCCAGACAAAGCAGTAAAAGAAAGCAGCATCATTAAAGGGGAAGGTCGAAGATGGAACTGCAAGGGACACAATCGGGGTATAGTCCATGTGTGATAAAAGAAAAAGACGCGATAAAGGAGGAACACACTGCATATCTGACTGCTGACAAGCCCGTCTCTGCAGCTAGTATGCATCCAAGGAGTGGAGAATATCTCGTGTACATATGTATGCTTTTAACTTGTGTCTGCAGATGAGCTTCTGTACTCACACCCTTGGAAAAAAAGAGAGCGAGAGAGTGTCTTAACTGGGCTTCTATGTGAAGATAAGAGGATGATTAATACAAAGACGATGGGAAGGTGGGAGATAAGGCTGAAGAATACTCACTGGAGATGAATGGGTAGAAGCATCGCGTGTGTGTGTGTGTTTGCCTACACATTCACAGCCCTGCTGATGCACTGTGTATTGTTCACTTGCAGTCATGACAGCGGTGTGTATGCATGCAAAAAGTGTGGCGGCATTTGAGGGCATCTGTGTGTGTGGAGGTGAGAAACGAATCTTGCTTGCAGACTGCTTATGATGGCCCTCTTTGATAGGTGTGTGTGTGTGTGTGTGTGTGTGTGTGTGTGGCACTGCGGCAGGCTGTGATTGATGGTGTGTGTTAGGAAGCTGGAGTCACAGTCATGGCTGAGAGACTTCCTATTCTGCTGAGAGCAGCACTATTACACACATGTTCCTCTCTCTCTTTGGCTCCCATCTCTTTTATTTTCCCTTTAATTCTCTCCCTCACCTCTAATTATCTTTCTTTTCATTTCTGTGGCTCCTTTCCTCACTTCCTTTTTCTTTTTCTGTCAGTCAGTATACAGTAGATTGTGTTTCGTTTTTTATGTCACACTTTTATTATTCAACAGTATCCCAAATCACTCCGTTTCTGTATTCTCACTTTGTATTCTCCATCTGCTTCCTCCTCTCCCTAACTCTTGCTACTATTATCTTAGATTTCATTGTTGTCTCCTTTCCTTCTCCTTCCACCCTTTGTACTGGAGTAAGATGAGAATCAGGCTGCTTCTCATGTCACTAAGATCTTTCTCCAACCCAAATAATAGATTTTTCTCCCCCAGTTTCCATTTCCATTGGCTCATCCCAAATGGGACTACGTGCCGCAACATTTTTTCAACTCACTGCATCCATTATTGTTGCCCCGTCTATCCGTTCGTGCTACCTTTCTGAAGACGAATGGCTCCTCGTTGTAGGCAGGGTTCAGTCCATTGTTCATCACCATGCGAGTGCGAAACTCTTTCCGGATGGTGTCCGTTGGCAGTCCATACATGTCGACTTCAACGTAGGTCCCGATTTTCTTGTCAGAGAGAAACTGTCCTGAGAACACCTAAAAAAGAAGCAGACCATTCTCAGTGCTTTGGAGAGGTGTTGATTTTACAGCAATATTATCTGCACAGGTTCATTCAGTGCACTGTGGGGTGGCTGTGGCTCAAGAGGTACTGCAACCTATATACTAATCAGAAGTTTGGTGATTCAGTCTGCATGCCAGTGTCCTTGGGCAAGATACTGAACCCAGAGTTGCTCCTGAATATGAATAGGTGAATGAGTCATGTTGCATAAAGCGCTTTGAGTCCTCTAGGAGAGTAAAAAAAAGCGCGATATAAGAACCACTGTAATTTGTACAGCATGCCACATCTAAGCCTGAAACCAACCTTCAACATGATATTATCTGTAGGTTTCACAGACATGGATGAAACCTAGTTCCACTGAAAAAAAAGTTTGGTTTAAGACTAGGCTGAATCCCTGAATGGAAATCCCTTATCCACTTTTTCCCTGAATGATTTATTAGTACTGCACGACCTAACCTGTACACTGCAGGTTGCAGCGATGACACCATCCACCGGTGTCTCTGAGAATGGGTCAAACATCCTGTCTGACCGCCGCATGAAGTCGGGCTTCAGCAGGTACCTGACGTGCACAGAAGATGCACATGAGGAAAGCGGCCACGCACAAACCCATCAATGAACACACTTTTGTTTTGTAAAATCTGATTATGATGCCTTTACAAACATTTTTTTGTTGTTGATGTCTCCCGATTTAGAATAAATGTAGCACACGAAGGTACTGTGCATATGTGTATGCTAACCAGGGGCCCATCAGAGTAACATTAATAGTGATGACTGTCTGCAAAAGCCTCGATCTCGCCACATATAAGATTTCCAGCATTAGCAGGAAAATCTCTGCCCTCAGGGACGGTATTAAAGGCGAGGCATGGAGACGACAAGGGAGAGAGGAAGAGACAGATGACTGCCGAGAGAAGAGGAGCTTCCTTCTCGAAAGCACTCATTGGTTTTTGGAAAAGATAGTAGCTGCGGTCGCTTCTGGCAGTCGCTAATGAGATGTGACAAGCTATAATTGATGAGCTTTAGAGAGGAGTGGAGAGGGAGGGAGGGGACAGACCGGAATGAACTAAAGACAGGAGTTGAGGAGCTGTGCTCACCCGCAGGAACCATTGTACTCAAACTTTCCTTGGTTCAGCTGCATGGCCAGATCTGAGAGAAGAGTGAGAATGATAAGTGATTAGTAACTGCAATATATACACGCCAGTGTTTAAACATCAAAACAATCCAAATAAATTAATGACTAAAAAAGAAAACCGAGAAACCCCATCATTCAAAGACTGAATTTTTTCTGAATCTGAGTGAATGGGTTTGTAATATTTTCCCTGACTCCCCCTTAGCTCCAAGTCCCCAGACCCCTGCCTAAAGCCTCACATATGCCCCACTCACAGCAGGCCATATGGTCTAATGTCTAATGCCTCTGGACATAGGACAGCAGCTGTTTCACTCCCTGTTAAGGTGTTTATATGGCAGCAACAGTTTGATAGTGTGTGTGAGTGTTTGTAAGAGGTCAGAGATAAACAGAGGTACGAATTCAGCTGCATTTATTTAGCAATTTTGCACACACGAAAAGATATTGATTCTATTTAAATGAGCTGACACCAAATCCAAACTTCAATTCAGAAACTTGTTTTTTTTTCCTGCATGAATATATTTGCAGCTGCGAGATGGTCGTTTCGTAGCTTCACAGTCAACCCTTCCCCACATGCAGAAGATGCTCTGAGCATGATCAGAGGGTTACTTGAAATTAGATTTGAGTGTGTATTTTGTAATATGAAGTTACATATACTATGAGTGGTGTTGTATGGGTGAGTGTGAGGTTAGAGGTCCCATGTTGCATGCTGTGGTACCTGGGGTCTGGAAGTTGAGTGAGACCATCTGGCAGCCTGCGTTCCAGAAGATCTGAGGCATGTAATTACTGGAGTCCACCCGGCCCCCTTTGGGGTAGATACGGCTCATCTGACGCTTGTTGTAGCTGTGCTGAAGCTCAGGAAAATTTGAAAAAAAAAGGGAGGGAGAACATGTGTGTTTCAACACATGTGTGTGCGTGTGTGCATTAAACAGACTGTACAACTATTTTTAGTGTGAACAGCTTGGGTCAAGCAGTCCCACTGGAGGGGAGAGAGAGGCTGTGTGTCAGGCTGAAAGCACACTGGGCTCTAGAGGCCTCAAGTTCTTTTCCGACAGCAGAGTGGAAACAAGTATGGCTAAAAAACATCAGTTCTGAGCCGACGTTCAGCTCTCATTTAGGTGACCTCAATCTATAAAGTTCAAACTCAGATTTCATTGGAAATTTATGTCTCTTCATGCATCTCAGTAAAGTGTCTGAGCTGTTTCCCTTAAAGTCTCATAGAGTTTAAACTTAAAACCTAAACTTGGTGAAATCTGATCTTATGCTGATTAAAGTTTACATACATCCTGTAACGATAACTTAAATGTATTATTTATCTACATTTTTCCTACCTTAGCGTCCCTTTTTTTTTTTAATAGCTGTTCTATTTTCTAGAAAAATCCAATGCAACTGGCTGATCTGACAAATGCTCAAAGGATACTTCACAAACTCAATGGCATTAGTCTTCAGATAGCCCAGGCCAACTGACTCGTTAAAAGATGACATGTTATGGTGGATATTCCTTTCTGAAAAACAAAAGAAAAGCTGATTAACATTTATTTTGACAGGCAGTAATTGATTGATTGTTCTATGAGGCTCTTACATGAGAAATGACAGCTAAAAGTTGAAGCTCTCACCTTCAGCTACATCAAAACTCTGGAACTTGACCGGCTGTGCATAGTTGACCATGGCTGACAGATACGGGTGGATGTTAGTGGTGGCTCCCACATAGGTGTACTGAGCTATCAGAGCCTCTTCTAAGTCTTCTGCCACATCTACAGTCTGAACAGCACAAGCACACATACACATGGCTCAATAACCTAGTCTTATTCATCAGCCCAGAGACAGCAGTCAGCTTTTAGTGGGGTAAAAAGGGGACGGGATGGGCACTTGCCTTCTTGTTGTTGTCTTGGTCAGATGCTTCAGAGATGTCTGTGGCGTCGGTTGCTTCAGATATCTCTGTCACCTCATCTTCAGGTACCTAAGAACACATCCATACAAAACACCCATTAATGGGATGTTCGTGTTAGTGGTAGATTTGACTGAATTTGGGCCATAGTAGTCCAATGTCCTATATTTAGCAAATGGTACAGGGGGAAAAACTGTTACAGTTAGCCGTTTTAATCTCACCTGCCGGGGATGTATAACAAACCAGAGGGCTTCTCTGCAATGTCCACAGATTCGTTTTAGTGTTTCAGTAGCAAGTCGACACTCAAACCTACCTTCTTAATACTGTTGCTTTGCTCGTCATCTTTCCTTGAGCTGACAGCATTACTCTGAGAAACACTGTTGGATTCTTTCTCGCTGGTTGCTTCAGAAACACTGCTGGGGGCCTCCGAATTCAAATCCTTATCCTCTGCCTCTTTTTCTCCTGCGCTCACATATACAGAACAACACAAATCAATAGCAAAGCTGATTTTTTTTCCCCTCCAACATTAATATTTTACTTATTCCTTGGTGCATTTACTTTAGCGAGTGTTTGCACTTGATGTTCTACTTTGCATTTTTCAGCATAAACCTATCGCTTACTGCTCGTACAAGAGGCTGTCACGCACATTACTACGATTTATTATTTCACATAGAAACACAGGCTGTCAGACATCTGACCGTTCTCTGTGTCGTCTTCATTCTCCTCTCCCATAATGATAGCAGGGGTGTTTGTCTCTCCTGCCTCCATGTGTTTCTTGAAGGCCTCGAGCTGCTCTGTATTGCACACATAAGGATGTTAAAGACAGACAAATCTCATAAAATCACATAGATGTGCTGTCTACATACTCTGTTCGACTTCAGGTTTCAAGCGTTTGTTTTTGATGAGGATTTTCCGCTTGAGCTCACTTGGAGAGGGTAAAGGACGCCCAGGTTCAATCTGCCAAAGAGAAAAGAACTTTTACACTTAAGTAAATATGAGTATAACCCAATCAGAGCAAATTCTAAGAAATACTTTGTATTAGAAAGAGAGGATTTACCGCATAGTTCTCCAAAGGCTGTTTGAGGAGCAGGTCACCGAAGATCTCCTCGCAGTACTTGGCCATCTTGTACTGCTGAGGTTTACTAAGTAACACAGTCACAAAAATACATAATATGTCTATGTATTGATTATTTGTGAAAAATGTATGCAAATAAAAGCAATCCTTACACATTCGATGTTTACTGATTATAAATGTACCTGCAGTGATTTTCAAATGACAAAATAACAGGAAAGTCTGATGTGACAAATGCTGTCTCCTTAATGGCTTGGATAACATCCTGTGGCAGGAGAAGAAAAACATTAGGTGTGAGGAGGATGAATCATAACAAGCCATCAAATGTTATATCAAACTCTGAACACAAGGGGGCAGACTTACATTATGAAATAGCATTAAAGCAGTAACTGAAAGACTGAACAAAGTTGGGTTTTTTGTGTTCACCTTGAACAGGATATCTGTGCACATGGCCTTGCCATGAGTAATGATGGGTTCCTGGTCCTCTCCTTTCCCATCCCAGCAGTCCAGCTCCACACATCTAATGCAAAGCACACAGAAATGTCTCTGTCCACAAGCTGCACGTGCAACTGAGCTTTAGCATAGCCAGATAAACCTAAGAGTGGATGATACACGTGTGTTTGTCAACCCATCCGAGTACACCATATTAACATAAATACCTGCATCCAGCCAGCAGGACCTGCCGGTACATCTCTACTGAGGACTTCCCTCCAAACTGTCGGCCTGTCAAGTACGTGTTGTGGGAGGAGCTGATGAAGTAATGGGCCAGCGGCTGGTCCATATCTTGGTACAGTTCCAGCCGGTCCAGGAACACTGGAGCATTTTCATCTGACATTAGGTACCGGCAGAAGCCATCACTGGACATGTGACCTGAACAGAACAAGGACGGACACGAAGGGCGTAACTTAGTGGTAGAATATTATTTATTGTTAAACTTTGTGAATATTTCTTTAAGGTGAAAGCAGTATAAAACTCTGAAAATATTCTTGTAATTTTTTTTATTTATTTTGGAAAAATGTAACATGTATTTGTAGAAGAAGTGTTCTAAAGTAAACAGAACAAATGGCTTTTATAATTCACTCTATCACTAAGTATTTTATTAGTATATACATTTTTATCATTACTAACTCTGAATTCAGCACAAGACGTGCAAATGTCAGGCCATGCCTTCCTGCGTGTTTATATCAAAACAACAGCTACTTGATGTTTAACTACTGTAGATTCTTTTGGGAATCTAAATGTGTATTTAAAAAGCAGCAGAGCTATGTGTACAACCATTTCATCATGATGATAACAGGGGAAAAATAAACTCCGGCACTTGACAATAAATATTTAGCCCTGGAGAAAATGTGCCAACAATCTGGTTTTCCGTTCAAGGTAACACCTGCAGATGGCAGCAAAGCCTAAAACATCTCCCTCCCTCTGGTTTGCCCACACGGTTCTTTACCTTTCTTCTTCAGATCTTCGTCTCTCTCGTATTTCTCGATGATCTGCATGGCTCTCTTGGGGTCGTAGAATGGAAACAGAATCTCATTTAACCTTGGGTCGCGCTGGTTCTGTGAAGCGAAACACAAACGCAGTCATCCCTCTATTCATCGTCTCCAGTAATTTCCCAGCACAAATCTAATTTAGGACAAACGCATCTTGCGCTACACGCAGGATAGGAGCAAACTTATTACAATATGTTTACACTCTCAATTTGTTATGCCTGATCAAAGGTACTGAACTCAGGACTATGTGATTGGCTTTCATCACTTACTATTTAAGAAATATTATCTATATATCATTAGTATACACACAGGCACATAACATTTAGACAGCAAGTACTAAAAGCACTGATCAAGGTGATTATTATACGGCAGTATAAACAAAGACCTGTGAGCCACACTAACAGGTGCAGAGATTAAATGTTGCTTAGAAGCAAAGAATCACATGTGTTTGAGGGAATCAAGGTGGCATTCACAAAAACAACAGCAAACATTCAAACATCATGAACATGTCGCTGCCCACTCACAGAGCCAGGTGGGGAATTTAATCTGATTGGCGAGCCCAGAGCATGAAGCAGCGCAAACACGTGACTGCACAGCAGCAGGACTAGGCAGGTATTCAGCAACACAGAGCAGCACAGCCACAGAACACATATACGCACAGCAGGGAACGAGACGAACCGAGCAGGAAGCAACAGGATGGAAACCTCGACCCTCCCGTTGCTACGGCAACACCAATCAGACACGGGGGGGGAGAAGGAGGCAAGCCACGGTAAGGAGAACATGGGATGACGGTGGGCATGCAGAATAAGGGAGGTGGTTGAAGATGCCCTTGCAGGCCCACTCAAAGTTAAATGTTGTGTCCATCCAATTTGATTAAGGTGGACTAATGTGCAGTCGGGCCTGGGAGCAGGGCGACTTCTACCTCAGAGCAGGATGAGAGTAAGAGCAGCAGGAGTTGCAGGGAAGGGCACACGCAAGCTAAATACAGAGAGAAGTTAATGAATGATAAAGAGCTTACTTCATTCAGAAAGCTGACTAACTGGTCTACAGTTAAATAATCAGTTTTGTTCCCATTGCTGCAGAGAGATTAATTAGAAAAACAAAACAAAATGTTATGCTCCTTAAAATCGAAACCCTCAGTCATTCACACAGTCAGTCAAAATTAGAAAAGCCAGTCTTTACAGTTACATTACGCTTTTAGTAGTATCTTGTTAATCATCACTCTTCTTTGACTGTTGTCATTAGGTTGAACATAATTAATGTTGAACGGTGGAAGCAGGTTAGGCTGTCCAGACATAGTTAGTGCGGCAGGCACAGAAACATTTGTCCTGATTATTTCCAACATGATGCAGCAGCTCTCACTTGGGGAATATTTAAACAGATGATATCATTGTTCTGCTCAGGCACAAGGTAACGCAGGTACAATACGTTGCTGGGTAATGCTGTTAAATGTGTATTCGGAGGATATTTTATTATTTTTAAGGTACAAAACAATTAAAAAGAGCAGACGAGATGAAACACTTACATTTTCTTGAAGAGCTCCTCTATATCTGTGCGAGGGCAGATCTTCTGTGTGAGCGCGTAAAAAATGTCAAAGGTAAAATCTGCTGGTTCAATCTCATCGTTCTGTAAAAGGTAAGTGAGAGAGTCATTTCCTCACAGTTTTCTTTCAGCGTAACAAACTCGGACACATCTGACTTCCAGTATTGTCTGACCTTTCCACTAGGAAGGCCCAGATCCTTCAGAGCCTGAAAGATCCCCTTCTCCGTTTTGCCTGATGCAAATGTCCGAGTGATGCTTTAAGAAGAGGAGGAGGATAAGGTGAAGATGAGTGAATGATATTGTATAAAAAAAACAACAACCCAAAAACATACTTTAAACGCACTCTTACCCTCTTACAGGAATCTTCCCATTCACGTTGGTAAGGAAACACATTCTCATCCAACTAAACAAAAACAGGAAGTAGGATTAAGGCGTCTTACTGAAGAAGGCACAGCCAAGTTATTACAACTGTGCTGCGAATTGCACTCACTGTTTCTTGAGGCATGTCATTGGACAGACGTTGTTGGCCTTAACGTTGTGAATCACTGACCTCAAACCCTCGATCCACTTCTGCAAACAAACAAGCACAAGTATTCAGGACGCACACGCACACGTATACACACTCCTGCCACTTAAAACCACTGAACAAATTACATAGCATTCAAAAGAGCACCCAGTTTGCATTGTGTTAAGAGGTGAATGTCTTTGGGGAAATAAACAAGCAAATGAATTGCTCTTTAATCAACAGTCTTGTGATAGGGGCCTTGACAGGACCATCATTAACACAGACACAAAAAACACACACACAGTGATAAACAGCGACCTGTTGCAAGGCTACAAGGAGTGATGATAAACAAACAGCTAGAGAAGGCCTGTGACTGCCCATGAATATGCTGCCTCATGCATCCATGTAAAGGCCACTGATAATCCGAACACTTCTGAGCCTCCTCTCTGAATGTCTGTCCCTCCTTGTGCTAAACCCTCCTCCACTTCCACAACAAATTTCTACTGGTGTCATTATAAAAACATTAAATGCGATGGCTTGTGCAGCAGGGGCAGTCTGTTTGGGCCCGTGGTGTTCACGAAGCAGCGCGCTGATGTAAATATCTCTGTCATCTATTGAGGCCTGCTCTTTACTGTAGGGCCACCTGTATGCTGGGAGGGGTGCTGATGGTGTCGCGGTGCATTTGTGTCTATGTGTGTGCGAGAGAGATAAAGAGGGACCGTGTTTTTGACTGTGGGGGACGTGCTCATGTATTTTAACCTGTGAGTGTACGTGTTTGTGTTTGTGCTCCCTGCTGTGGGCTGCTGCATGAATATCATTGGCAGCCCCGTGGCACAAACAGCAGTTATAACACCCACCAGCATGAAGGGAAAAAACAAAAAACAAAAAAAACACCCTCTCATGGGAAATGAATAAACACCAATCCGGTGGTGCCAAATAACAGATCTGTGCTCAAAAAACTAAAAACACCAGCTTGTTCTAAAGCTACTGGTGATTTTAAATTTTTCTACAAACTGACATCTGTAAAAACATTATGTATACCATGCTCCAAAATTATTATGCAAATAGGATTTTAGTGTTATAAACACTCAATTTTCTTTGTGTTCAGTTAAACTCATGGATAGTGTTGTGTCTCAGGGCTCTTTGGATCACTGATATCAATCAGACATAACTAGTTTGTCAGGTGAGCCCAATTAAAGGAAGTCTACTTAAGAAGGATGTTCCACTTTATTAAGCATGCCACAGGTTTAAAGCAATAATGGAACGAAAAACAATCTCTGCTGCAGAGTGTCAAATAATGCAATGCCTTGGATAAGGTATGAAAACTTAAGCATGATCATCGTACTGTGAAGAGATTTGTGGCTGATTCAGAGCACAGACGCGTTTGCACAGATAAAGGCATAATGAGGAAGGTTTCTGCCAGACAAGTTCATCGGATTAAGAGAGCAGCTGTTAAAATGCTATTACAAAGCTGCAAACAGATATTTGAAACTGTAGGTGCCTCTGGAGTCCCATGAACCTCAAGGTGCAGGATCCTCCAGAGGCTTGCAGTTGTGCATAAACCTGCCATTCGGCCGCCCCTAACCAATACTGACAAGCAGAAACGGTTGCAGTGGACCAAGAAATACATGAAGGTTAATTTTCAAACAGTCTTGTTTACTAATTTGTCATATAACCCTGGATGGTCCCGATGGATGATGTAGTGGACAGTTGGTGGATGGCCACCATGTCTCAACAAGCCTGCGACATCAGCAAGGAAGTGACAGAACCATGTTTTGGGCCAGAATCATGGGGAGAGAGCTCGTTGGCCTCTTTAGGGTCCCTGAAGGTGTGAAAATGACCTCAGCAAAGTATGTAGAGTTGCCATTTACCATTTCTTTCATGGTACCCAAAGAAGAACAGTGCCCTTCGTAGCAAAATTATCCTCATGCATGACAATGCACCATCTCATGCTGCAAACAACACCTCTGTGGCATTGGCTGCTATTGGCATAAAAGGAGAGAAACTCATGGTGTGGTTTCTGACCTCAACCCTATTGAGAACCTTTGCAGCATCCTCAAGCAAAAGATCTATGAGGGTGGGAGGCAGTTCACATCAAAACAGCAGCTGTGGGAGGCGATTCTGACATCTTACAAAGAAATCCAACCAGAAATTCTCCTGGTTCAATGGATGCAAGAATTGTGAAGGCTACAGTGGGGCAAAAAAGTATTTAGTCAGCCACCGATTGTGCAAGTTCCCCCACCTAAAATGATGACAGAGGTCAGTAATTTGCACCAGAGGTACACTTCAACTGTGAGAGACAGAATGTGAAAAAAAAATCCATGAATCCACATGGTAGGATTTGTAAAGAATTTATTCGTAAATCAGGGTGGAAAATAAGTATTTGGTCAATAACAAAAATACAACTCAATACTTTGTAACATAACCTTTGTTGGCAATAACAGAGGTCAAACGTTTACTATAGGTCTTTACCAGGTTTGCACACACAGTAGCTGGTATTTTGGCCCATTCCTCCATGCAGATCTTCTCGAGAGCAGTGATGTTTTGGGGCTGTTGCCGAGCAACACGGACTTTCAACTCCCGCCACAGATTTTCTATGGGGTTGAGGTCTGGAGACTGGCTAGGCCACTCCAGGACTTTCAAATGCTTCTTACGGAGCCACTCCTTTGTTGCCCGGGCGGTGTGTTTTGGATCATTGTCATGTTGGAAGACCCAGCCTCGTTTCATCTTCAAAGTTCTCACTGATGGAAGGAGGTTTTGGCTCAAAATCTCACGATACATGGCCCCATTCATTCTGTCCTTAACACGGATCAGTCGTCCTGTCCCCTTGGCAGAAAAACAGCCCCATAGCATGATGTTTCCACCCCCATGCTTCACAGTAGGTATGGTGTTCTTGGGATGCAACTCAGTATTCTTCTTCCTCCAAACACGACGAGTTGAGTTTATACCAAAAAGTTCTACTTTGGTTTCATCTGACCACATGACATTCTCCCAATCCTCTGCTGTATCATCCATGTGCTCTCTGGCAAACTTCAGACGGGCCTGGACATGCACTGGCTTCAGCAGCGGAACACGTCTGGCACTGCGGGATTTGATTCCCTGCCGTTGTAGTGTGTTACTGATGGTGACCTTTGTTACTTTGGTCCCAGCTCTCTGCAGGTCATTCACCAGGTCCCCCCGTGTGGTTCTGGGATCTTTGCTCACCGTTCTCATGATCATTTTGACCCCACGGGATGAGATCTTGCGTGGAGCCCCAGATCGAGGGAGATTATCAGTGGTCTTGTATGTCTTCCATTTTCTGATGATTGCTCCCACAGTTGATTTTTTCACACCAAGCTGCTTGCCTATTGTAGATTCACTCTTCCCAGTCTGGTGCAGGTCTACAATACTTTTCCTGGTGTCCTTCGAAAGCTCTTTGGTCTTGGCCATGGCGGAGTTTGGAGTCTGACTGTTTGAGGCTGTGGACAGGTGTCTTTTATACAGATGATGAGTTCAAACAGGTGCCATTCATACAGGTAACGAGTGGGGGACAGAAAAGCTTCTTACAGAAGACGTTACAGGTCTGTGAGAGCCAGAGATTTTCCTTGTTTGAGGTGACCAAATACTTATTTTCCACCCTATTTACGAATAAATTCTTTACAAATCCTACCATGTGAGATTCATGGATTTTTTTTTCACATTCTGTCTCTCACAGTTGAAGTGTACCTCTGGTGCAAATTACTGACCTCTGTCATCATTTTAAGTGGGGGAACTTGCACAATCGGTGGCTGACTAAATACTTTTTTGCCCCACTGTATGTCAAGGAAGGGGTCCTATGCTAACATGCGACTCGGCCTGTTAAGACATTTTGATCGAAATATATTTACTGAAACTAAAAGCTGACCTCTTAATGCTGCAAATTCAACAAATGACCATTTGCAGTTCTTCACAAACAATAAAATGTTTTGAAACTCTGTTGTGCATAATAATTCAGAACAGAGCATTTTGTGTTGTTTTAATTTTGGGAGGTTTGTTCAATTAAAATTGATGACTTAAATTATACTGACATCGAGTCAGTATCGAGTATGTAGGAAAGTTAGTGACAAATATCAAAAAAGTTTAGTCAAGGTTAGCGTGGTGCTTTGATTTTAAGTCATTCTTGTTGTTTTGTGGCACCTCTTAATTTTTCTCAGCAAACTATTGTGAATGACAAACTATTATTTGCCATTGTGTTTAAAAGAAAGTATAAGTCATATGTTTTAAGCTAATCTGGCAGACATCTGTCAGGCTGAGAAAACTTACTTTAGAGGACACGTAGAGTTTCTTTTAATCCCAAATCTTCATCTTTACCAAAATGATTGAGCACAATTATGATCATGTTCATTATATTGCATGCTGTCAACATAGCCTATGAAAATACCAAAGCTAGCATAGAAATGACAAAGAAGTATTGTCTGTGTGTTGAACAGGAACTAATAGAACTTTTTTCCTTCAACAGAAACGAGTATTGAGACTAACCAGATATTCCTACTTGGAGTCTTTTTATAGGACTCAGTCAAGGGGGGGGGAAAAGAAGAAAAAAAAAAAAACACCTTTTTTGAAGTATAATAAACATTGACTTTAATTTCTCTTACTGTGATGTTTTTGTATTATGCCAAAAGTAGCAAGTTATTTTTGGGGCTCATCCAAGTGGCTCATTCTTCAAATATAGAACAATGAAGAAGTGCAAGACAACAAGAGAAAAGCAGCAGCGAAAGCAGCAGGAGGAATACAGAACAGAGATGCTGTGAATCATTCCAGATGCATCTATTTATTCAATGAATCAAGGCCTTGTGTAGGAGCTGGCATATTAACCCTGGCTTTCCTTTCTGAATTGAGAATCTGTTGGCTGGGTGGTCTTTTAATCTTTACATCTACATTGTTATGGAAATGTTGAAATTACTCAGACAGGTGCTAAGCAGAGTTTACCTCGAGGGCAGAAAAATGAAGTAGTGGTTAAGCTCTTACAAGCAGCCTCACTGTGCTCTCTACTTTGGAGCTCTAATATGTACAGTATTAGTAGGCACAGTGAACGAACAGGGAAGGCTGCAGGATAGCAGGTATCTGACACTATCGTGGGATAATGCCTGGACGGGACTAAGCACCAACCTTCAAGGTTTAAAAATCCACACATGCCAAAGTACCAAAAACTGTACTTCCATAAGTGGCCACACGAGGCAGACGCCCAACGTGACTCTTTCCCTTTAGACTCCCAACAAAAATGTCAAATTTCACCACCTGACAGACATAAAAAACTATAACTTTGGTCTATAGTTACCCATCCATAACAGCTCTGTGTAGGTCATTTTTGTTTTAGGTCTCTTTCACATTAAAGCTTAAAGCTAAGTGCCTGACTGATAAGATTGACAGGTGGACACCAATCCAACTAACTGCTTGGTAGGAGTCACGTCACTCACGTGTGTTTGTGGCCTGGGTGACTTGTGGAACATCATTTAATGCTGTGTGATTAATTGTATCAAGAGCCATCTAAAGAAGTTCCTGTTTTGCTAAGTAAAATTTTAGTTTTTTCTAGTTTCTAGTTTGTTTTGTGGGTGTGTGTATCACTTGGCACTAATTAGAAGGTATCAGTATTTAGCACGATGCACACATACAATCTATGCATGCATTTTGCTAACCATTGTCCTATGATTGGTTGACAACTTGTAAAAACAAAAAAACAAAACAGAAACGCCCCAAATGCTAATATTTAAGGCATCAAAACAGGACTTCACAGCCGGGTGGGTGACGTCATGGTGCCTATATCATTTACATCTTTTACATACAGTCTATGGAGTTTGCAGTGAATTTTTGTCCAGACAACATATGCTTTGTGGCCATTGATTAAAACCATCTAAATTCATCAAAACACCTTTTTTTTAAACCTGTGATGCACTCAAAAAGTGTCACAAGTTAGATATTAGCCAGAAGCTACATAAGTGCCTTTTGTCACTGAAAGGTATATGGTGAGTGAAGAAAATCATGCTATATTGGCATACACAGCTGTCCATTACATCTGTTATATTGTCAAAATATTTCAAACTGCAACACTCCAATTAAATCTCAAGGTCAGCACTCCATCTTTATCGTTTGTATAAAGCAGCAGAAATGTGGGGAGGGCATGCATTTACCCTGGCTGTCTCTGGGTTCTCTGCCACCATGAACATGAAGTTGAGATTGACCAGGTCTGTGCCACTGCAGATGCAGATGATGCAACCCTCCAAGTCTGTTTCTGTCTTTCCAGTGGCCTCAAATGACGACAGGATCTTAGGGTCCTGAGGACACAGCATCAAAGGCAGAGATTAGTATAGAAATGATGGATAAATAGCTGATCAAAATTACATGCTAAGACGGAGACCTAGACATAAAGCTAAAAAAAAGATAAAATAGAATAATTAAGCAACAGAGCAAGCTCTTTAGATGTTTGAAAGCATTTCTGCTGCTTTAAGTTTAAGTAGGGGAAATATTTCAACATTTATAGACCTTTAGTTCTTTTTCTCAGAACAAAATACATCCCAGCACACCTTTGTCTGATATAACTTTAATGTCTGTTTTATCAGTTTAACAGAAAAATCCACAAAAGGATTTTCTCACTATCAAAAACACCACTCCTTCCTCTCTCATCTTCTCAATCAGATTTCCTGTCTGCCACCATTGAAGATAGTAATGCTTATATGTTACGTGATTGAATTAACAGCAACAGGCAACAGGCTATGCCACTTTAAAATCTCAGCCTGCAATCATCCAATCCCATTCATCTCTTCTCTCTCATTGGATTACTTGAAACAGCTCTCCAGGCTTGTGTAACCATGTTAGCCTCTGAGGAGAAGCCCAGTTATCAGTTGTCTGCACTGTACAGAACAGCATACGGCGCATGAGCCGCCATCAGACTGCAGAATCTATATACGTGCCCTCACATACGTACATAAAAAGACAGCCACACAGGACCAAACAAAGGCGCTCCAATCTGTTGTCAGCAGTATGATTTGAGACTCTCCTGTTAGGCTTCTGCATTTCAGTGGCTTCATTGGTTTGCATACAAATTAGAAGGCAGCATGCCCATGGATATTCCAGTAATAGCTTTCATAATTCATATAGCTGGTATGATGCTAAATACCACAATATAATGTGTCACTGTCAAGGCTACATAGCATGAATCGATATTTAATATACAGAGGAACCATGTGGTTTGGATTTGTGCATATCTGCCTCTGTAACTGCTAAATAGAAAACTGATTGGTTGCCAGCTGTAATAATTCACTGGGCTATTTTAGAGACCATTTCCTATTATGGGATAAGGAAAAGTCATTCTGACGGAGACAGAACATCTTATACTGTTGATCTTTTGATCCTGTAGTGTGAACTCCATAACCCAGCGGTTTTCTGACAGCGCATCACCACAGTGGCTGAAAGAACAATTTTTCAATACTACTCTCTCGGTCAAAAGCACAATCCACAGCTGCGAGGAAGTTCAGTAAGAACCTGTGGAGAAACTCAGAGTTGTATAAATATTGATGAGCTAGTGCCCTGTGTGAATCTGTATTTGAAAGCAAATCTCAGCAGTAAGAACTCAACCGGGAGTCCCAAACCAGTCATTATATTGATAGAAAAAGCCACTGTAGCCTTGGCTAATTTAGGCATGAATAATAGCCTGAAGTGGCAGTGTCTCTAGATTTTACCGGGAGTACCTCTGTGGGACTAAAAGATGGAATGTTTGATGCGGAGGGTGAGAGTGTGAATTTTGTGAAGGCAGAAGTGAAGAAATGGTCTCTCCTGAGTTCTTACCTTTGGGACGGCACCGACGCGAATACTGTTGATGAGAGAACACTCCAGAACCTGACCTTCCTGTAGGAGACCAAAAACGGTGGAAAGAAAGGGAAAAAAGAAGCAGATGAAGAGGGGGAGAATAAAAGTCTGGAAGAAAAAAAATTTCTAATGGTCAGCAAAGCACAAGCACCACAACCTCTCAGCAACATGGGTGATTACGAGCCAGAAATGAGGAGGAGTCCTTTGTGCGTTGAGAATAGCTGTTTTAACACCATTTGATTTAATTACCAAGTTTGAGTCTGCAGGAATGAGGATAAACATTAACAGGTTGGACTGTTGCAGAGGTGCTTTTTGCCACCAGGCATGCAGCTGCTTGGGGTCCCAGCACATTGGTGGGCTCCCGAAAACAGACAAACCTATACTGCCGCAGTTTGTAACATCGGTTGAAGAGGCCTGATCACCTTTGGGGCCCAACCTGACTCCATTCACCCCAGCTAAAGAAGGTGTGCACGAAATGAATGCTGCTAGTCTATTTGTAACTCTGGGGGAGGAAATTAATGTCAAAATCTATTGCAAGATTTGCAAAATGTCAGCAGTAAAATAGAAGTTATGAAAGTTCGGTGCATGCTTGTATATTTTCTGAATCAGAGTTATTTTTCCAAGTAGAGGGATTCAGATGCACCTCATAGAGGTTTTTAGACAGTGGCAAAGAAAAATCAGGAATGTTATAATCCAGTGGCTGGAAAATGAGACCATGCGAGTACTAAAAACTGCAGTTTTTAGTACTCGCACAGCCAGCTGTAGGTCCTATATGCTAGGCTTCATCTTTTTTTTTTTCTCTCTCTTTTTTTTTAAAAAAATGTTTATTTATAAGATTTTAAGTTCAAAGTTACATAACGTCACACCAGACAATGAAAATAAGATTCAAAAACAATAACATTTAAGCACAGAAAAAAAAGAAAAAAAAAAGAAAAAACAGAAACCAAACACACAACAAAAAAAAAACCCAAACAGGAAAACAGGAAAGAAAAGGAAAATATAAATAAATAAATAAATAAATGCTAGGCTTCATCTTAGCTAGTTTAAAATCATCCAACAAGAGCTACTGAACATATCTGCAACAAATTAATCCAACTATCAGATAAACATCTGATAAACATTGTCTATTGCCCAATGCTAATCAGTATTAGCCTAAATGCTAGTACTTAAATCTTTTCTCTATATTTTAAGCTTGTTATAATATACATATATTTAACGTGCTTCATTTATAGTTTTTATTTACTTGCATATACCTTTTTCAGAGTCAAATGGTCAGGACTACAGAAAAAAATCAAAACTACTAACTCTTTCCTTGCATGCCTTTTTAAATACTTTACCTACTCCATGTGGATCCTGTCTTATACATTTCTATTTAGAGGATCCTCTCAAAAATCCTAGAATACACACAGGTCATGATGTGGAAGTCGTACCTTTCCCTCACTCTTCCAGGTGATGAAAAAGCCGTACTCGTCCACTTCCATGTGGCAGTTGGGCTCAAAGATGTATGGGTCCTGCAGCAAGGAAAAATGATTATTTCTAAGCAATGAGGCCATATTAATCAAAGGTTTTATTTGACACAGCAAGACATTAAACAGTCAACCTGTTTAACAAACACAGGAATTATGCAATCAGACAACCAGATGTAGCTCTTATTCATTTTACAAGATATACCTGCCTGCCTACGAACACACACTCAAACATACTTTAACAAAGAATGCACAAATACGCTCAGTATGTACACACAGGTTGCCCGTAGGGGAGATGAAGCCTGTTGTCTAAGGCAAACACGCAGTGAGATTAATGTGACCACCTTTAGCTGTTAAATGCAAACATCAACGCAGTTGGAACACATTTCCAGGTTATAGAGACGAACAGGAGGTAAAAGTGTATTAGCCTAGCTACTGTGATGCTACTCCACACATCGTTCAACAGTGTTGGTGGAGGAAATCGACTAACCTTAGCCACCTTGTCCTACCCAAACAATCTTACCATCAATTCAATCAGCCGGAAGATGTGTGTGTGTGCCGACAAATATGTGTATTTTTTCCCCACTCCACTCAAACAACACATCTGAGAAAGCTAAAAACATAAGAGAGAAATAAACTAGAATGGGAGAAGGCTGCTGGGTCACTCTAATATTAGCAGTAGGGAACAGTGTAACACACTCATGTACACACTCATACACACGTGATTTATTATTTCAGGATGTTGCTACTATGAGATACGCAGCTGCAAATAGGACTGTGCTGGCTTGTTACTTGGCTCTTACCCTGACATCTAAAACCCTCAAAAAACCCCTCAGAAGAATAATCTTATTTCCATTTAGGAAACAGTGAGACTGCTGTAAATGCAGATAAAAGCTTGACTCTTTCATCTGAATGAAGACTGACAGAGTGTTCGGTGTTAGATATACAGCCACCTCGATGAAGGAGATGGTTTCAGATAAACCTCAACTGTTGAGGACATACAACAGTATCACATTCCACTGCTTTTAGCTTTACTGTAGTAAATCTAAAATTGTGTGTGTGTGTGTGTGTGTGTGTGTGTGTGTGTGTGTGTGTGTGTGTGTGTGTGTGTGTGTGTTGCCTATTGATCGTGCCTCTTATTTTGAACACAGATCCTCAGATCATTTCGAGGTCTTTTACCCTTTGTCTAAATTTCCAAATCAATATTAGAGAGTGATAATTAATCTGTAGGCTTAAGAGCTGTATCTATAAATATTATATATGATGCTATTAACAAGTGCAGTCAAAAACAAAGTACACCTTCTGTAAATTTGTCAGTATCAGTTCATAAAATCATCTTCTCTATGACTATCGTTCTCTCACATTGTTGTGGAGGAATTATATCTTACTATTTATACTTGTTTAGGTCATTGAGGTTTGTGGGAATAAAATCCCACCACAGTATTTAACCCAGGTGGAGGTCTGGACTCTGACTGGATCACTGCAACAATTTCATTCTTTTCTTTTTTTTTTCCCGTCATTCTGTTGAATCTTTGAATTGCTGCTGTGTTTGTGATCACAGTCCTGTTCCATGACCCAGTTTAAGCAGAGCTTTATCTGTCAGACAGGTGCCCTCACATTTGATTTTAGAATACTTTGCAGTCAGTGACTCGACCATGAACTCATCCGTCTACTAAAGCGCTCAGGTCCTGTGGCTGCAAAACAAGCAGTAATGGAAGGAATCCAGCATTTAGTTTTATTTATTTATTTAGTTATCATTAAATAAATAATGACAGTTTAGTTTTTGTATTTTGTTAGATTATTATTATGCCTCGATACGTAAAACCTTAGAAGTTAAAGAGGGTGTACTTTCTTTGCGCCATGACTGTAAATGCTTATGTGTGTTTTCTGTCTCGTTCGTCTCAGTCTACCTTCATCAGCCGTCAATATGAGGCTGCATAGTTTCCATGGACACCAAACATCAATCAGATCTTAAATGATTGATTTCCACTCAGTGAGATAATGAACGAAACACACACACACGGAAAGCTCTTTGGCTATTTGCATAATGGATTACATAGGATATCTTTTACCTCAATGCCTCTGGACTCTTAAAGAGGACAAACTCATATGAAATATCTCATTAAAGGATGCAAACTAATTATTGAAAATCCATAGTACACTACAGCGTGTAGAGCTAAAGAGAAAAACAAAGAGTGAGATGCAAACTTGGAAACATCTCCATCTATTCAAGGACATGAATAAGATGGCAAAGAAAGCATTCTGGGGACCTTAAGTTGTTTTAGAAAGCCATCTTATGTAACGATATGAGCTGAGAGGCTCTGTATAACGATAGCTGTCCCCTATGAAGCTTTGAATTGCACTCGTACAAACACATACAGGCACACTGACCCACGTGCACATTACCTGCCACTACCATCTGTCACTCAGTGGGGCTTCAGTCACTAGAGACTGTTCTTGTGGCAAAAAAATAAAATCCATGCTGTTTAGCATATGCTTTTTTGCACACTGAGATGCTTGCGCCCCGCATCCTTTGTAATTTCCAGGCAGCAGTGCTTTGCTCACACAAACACAAACACATGCCCACACTGACACAAAGTATGACTGACAGTGTTTTATAAATGAGACGCATTGCTGCTTCGTGTTTACGATAACAGCGAGGAACATGAGCTGACAACCAAAATAACTATTGATTTATGAATGAAGGACTGTAGCGCTGTTTTTTTCTCCTGAGACGCATCAGTTTGAGTTGATATTGTTTAAAATATAATCATTAACGAGAAAAATTCACAGCACTAAGAGGGGAGTGGTATGTCCCAAGTGTCATTATTCATTTTAACCGACTGACAGAGCTTGACCTTATTACCATTCAGGCCAGACCTAACCTTGTCCTGTCTAAGCTTGGCTCAAATTCACAGCAGCAACACACTGAGGACTCTGTTCAGAAGCATGCTGGCCCAGTTTCACCGCTCACTGTGACATGGCTTTGGATTTGATGATGCCTTTCCGTACACAGAGAGCTTTTTTCTCTGCCTAAGAGGGATCCTCCTCCCCCAGCTGATGCCCACATAAACGGAGAGGACTGAGGGGATTTCCTGATGTGTGCAGGGGTACATGTAGGTCCGTGTGTGTGTGTGTGACTGTGACACACTTTGCCTTTGCTCGTCCAATGTCCTAGCTAGGTGTCCTGATTAAGTTTGTCTGAGGAAATGTGGGCAAAAAAAAAAAAAAAAGGCAGGAAGATATACATGGTGGTCACATACATGCAAGTGCATACAAAGATATATGGAAGCAATGAATTTGCTTGTGGCTGTAACTGAGCATTTATTGGTTATAATTCAACTTTAAAATAGTTTTTTTTTTAAGAAAGCTTTTAAATGATCTATTTATATTTCCTAGCTCACATTTTTTCTGTTTTTTATTTGTGGTGGTGTTTTGCATCCTTCTTGTGCAGCTCCAAACTGGGTCCTGAGCCAGTACAGGCAGAATAACCTAGCAGGAATGCTTCTTAAGTCACATATACAATCAATCTAAAAATATTAAACAACAATAACAGATGGCCGATATGATCAGCCAATTTTTAGCTATTTGTCGCTCTGTTGATATCAGTATGTATAACGGCCAAAAAATTAAATGACAAAATTAAAGAAGAAATAGAAGAAACACCCTTCAACTATGTTTTGTGTGTTGATGTTGCACAGTTCGTCCATGAGGGGGCACTCTGCAACTGTTGGCAACACATGTTGCAATGATCCAAGCAGTTGGCCACAGTGTTAAAGAGTAAACAAATAACTGCACATAAACAGATTTCCCAAAAATTTGTTAAGTTTTGTTTGTCTGAAAGAAAATAAATTAGCTGATATATCGCCATATTGGGTTTTTAAATCACCACATGCCTGTATCAGTATTGGCCTTTAAAAGCCTATAATCAGTCGGGCTCTATTTCACACACGTGGCTCGTGTAAATCCTCTTTTGCTGAAGCAGAGCCTCCACAGGACATTTCCTGTAGCTCATTAAAAGAGTTGCACAACTCCTCTTTACAACACTGTTTGAGCTTATTTATTTTTTTGGGACATCTTAATTGAAAATCTGTCTTTATGTTTTGCTACAGCATCTTTAGGCACTGGAATTGAGAACCGGTAATCAAAAGCTTCTAAGCTTATCATTTTCTTTTATCAGCACTCGTAGGTTTTTCTTACAGTGGGTTAGGGCATATAATAAAGCAATGATGTCATGTCGCAGTGGAGCTTGTGCACGCCTGAGTGACTGTATATGAAAGCAGCACTGTTCTCAGAGTCAGACAGATAAACAGTTATGCAGGCACACCCATTTTGACGCCTTTCCCCACTTTGTGCATTTCTAAAATTGGTTCTTACACAAACCAATTTTCTTTGGAATTATGGCTATTCTAAAACGTTTTTAGCGTGTGCATAATTTTTTATAGTGTGCTACTTAAGACCCTCAGTGGGCGTGATGCGGACAAGCAGTCGCCATGCCGAAGCATCTTAATGAGCCTGATCAATGTGGCCTGTCTACAGCTAGAACTGTGACTACACCAGTGATGATATAAACTGAGGTCTCTGTTCTGTGTGTATGTGTGTGCGCTTGTATTACTCATGGTGTGGGAATATAAATGTCTTTCCATTGTTGCACTGTGGACCCGTCTTGGATATTTTTGAGAAGAAAAAAAACAAACAAACAAAGGCAGCATAATATAAATCATTACATTTAGAGACTAAAACTTCATTTAAAGCTTGGTATTCTAAATGTATGAAAACAAAGACTCTGCTCCGTGTGTGGATGTGTGCATTTGTCCAACTAATGACTGAGCCAGGCACAGTCATTAAGGTCCAGGATGATAACAGGGCAGAGCAAATAATCTATGGTGGTATCAGCAGGGAACACTTACAAACAGATAGCTTAGCATTGGCTAAACTTTCATCACTTCACTGAGAATACTAAAAGCCTCTTATTTTTAATCAATTACTCAATCCAGGAAAGTGTCATATTTACCTCATCAAACCTGTCGAAAGAGGCGCCTTCCTGCATGAACTCAGGCAGGTGCTTCTCCCAGTTGAATTCGTAGGACTTTGTCATGGCTGCTCACAAGTCTGAGAAACAAACAAAAGAGGAGAAGACACACAAGGAAAGAGACAGACACAGAGTATGTTAGGAAAGGATGCTCGCTCTCCAGGGGCTCATCCAAAAATATCCTCTTGAGAGAGTGAGAACAACTTACATATATAACAACCAACCAATGAACAAGCTCCAAAGACAGAATTTAGGAAAAATATTGATTTGTCATTTAGGATTTTTCAGAGATTTAAAGCACCCTCTCTGCTTTGGAGCTGCAATTAGCAGTGAAGCAGAGTAATGGCCTGTATTTGTATAGCGCTTAACTAGTCCCTAAGGACCCCAAAGCCCTTTACACATTCAGTCATCCACACATTCACACACACATTCACACACTGGTGATGGCAAGCTACATGTAGCCACAGCCACCCTGGGGCGCACTGACAGAGGCGAGGCTGCCGAACACTGGCGCCACCGGGCCCTCTGACCACCACCAGTAGGCAACGGGTGAACTGTCCAAGCCGGGGCTCGAACCGGCAACCTTCCGATTACAAGATGAACTCCCAACTCTTGAGCCACGATCGCCCGTAAAGAGTAAAATAAAGAGTAAATAGAACAAGCAAAAGGAATATGGGCAAATGACATCAGAGGACAACCGCTGCGTGGGACCAAGCAGGAACCTCCAGGGCTGAAAAATGAAGTCCATGGCAAAGTGCCTAAAGCTGCAGTACCTTAACCGTCCACTTGAGACAATCTCAAAGAGTGAGTTAAAAAACAACAACAGCTGTACAGAAAATGAGTTTGTCTGTTTTTTTAATTCACCCATTTGCGGTTGTTTTGGGGGGGGGGGGTTGTAGCTGCTTTGACTGTCGAGGTTGCCAACACAGGCGTCTTTAGCTAAGCTTCATGCCAGCTAACTGGAATCAACTGTGTAGTGTTGGTACCTATTTAGAACATTTTTAATAGACCTACCTGATAAAATGGAGTTTTTAAAGTGTAATAACAGCCCATCCAAGCTATGTGATTCAGATAATATATATATGCATTTTTTATGTGTTAAATAAGCACGTATGTAAATCTGCACAATAATGTACATAGAGCCTACTGGGTCACCTTGCTAACCAAGCTTGCTATTATTTGCTAATAACAAAGAACTCATCCTCACGTCCAACTATCATCGCTTCTGGATTCCAAAAACAACCATAATGTTATAAATTAATCCTATAAATGGGACTATGGGTGGACCTGAGCAACATATCACAGAGATAAAACGTATGCGAGAAAGGAATTTCCTCCTCCTGCTTTTATCTAGGACCCTGAAACAAAACGGATGGGCACTGCACTCCTCTCCAAATACTAGAGAGTCAGGCTTCATTCATGTGACACACCTGCACGTGTATCATCACGTAAGACATCCAGCTCAGGGAGGGGAGGAGGTAATTGTAATATTGCTGATGACACCACCCAAATATAGGCTCCACCTACGTCAAGCTCAAATGTGTCAAGCAAAAGTGAGAGGGAGAAGTGCACTTGAGAACGTGACACACTATGTATAGCCTAAGAGCTCAGCCGGTATTAAGTCATTATGGGAATACTCTGCGGAGATTTGATTTTCATCCACCAATCTTTTAGCCTGCTGCGCTACAGAATATTTTCTACTATACAGAAAATTAAACGCATATACACAAAGTGGAAACTGGATGCTGATGGATGAGATGAGAAATAGGGGAACTGAGGAAGGATAATGGGGGAAGAAATATGGACAGAGAGTCAGCGTGAAAGATGTGAAGGCACAGGGAAAAGTGAAAGGCAGAAATAAAATAATAAAATCAGTGCACTAAAAGTAAGAGCCTGATATACACCCACTGAGAGGCAGAAAGATGTGATCTGAGAGATGAGGAGAGAGTGGCATGAGAAGCATAGAGATGAAACAGAACAGTGGTGGGCAGAGAGACACAGAACAGTGACACAGCTGTGAGTGACAGAGGCTGGGGGATCAGAGTGGTGAGTACAGCAGAGGGGGGGTGTCTGCTTTTGATGTGGGGAACGCAGATCAGACACATCATCAGCAGGGGTTACAGAAGACTACCGGCTGGGCGGGCTACAGTCCACCCCTGCCATGACAAGTGCAGATGATGCAAGGCTTCTGGGATGTTTGAATGCTGTCATTTTGAAAGTACAATGATTCAGAAAAAAAGAGACAATCTCACTGCTGCTGGCAGGTTCAGCAAAAGACACCAAGGCTGAACAGAGACAGTGGATAACACCAGAAACTTTGAAAAACAAGCTACTGCACTTTCATTTATGCAAATTAAGCCAATTTGGTCTGCTGTGCTGTATATCACACAGCTAAAGGAGGTATAGTATCCAGGTCAATACATCTACTTATTTACAAAAAAAAGGAGCCAACCGTGAAACCAAGTCCTCCACCATCTGTGTTGGCCAAAAGTAGAGTTTACTACAGAAGTTTACTCATCAAACAAGGGAAACACGGAAATGTTATACACTGTAAAACAGATTCAAAATCATTCATATAGGACATTTCACATCTCTAATTTGGACTAATTGGACTGTGCTTTCCTGTCTGACGATAGCCTAGATCTCGCTACACTCAACAGTATGCATTAGATAACATTTTCCTCAGCGGGATGAAATCTGTCCAATAGCAGTGCAGCAGTTGAGGTCCTATAAGGCCACGCCAGTGCGCACGCTGGGCCTCTGAGCTTCTAGAAGTGTGAGTGCGCACGTGAGGAGCTATGGGAAGCTAGCGGAAGTCGGTGAGGTCCGAGCCCCCTATCCAACCCCTGACAGAGAGATAATTACGATAGATAGAAGCCCCGTGAGGAACACTGTTCCCAGCCTCCTCTTCTAAAATGGCAGCTAGGGTAACACCCAGCGGTCCCACACCTCATAAACTAAAATTAGGCTACAGCTACATCAGTCAGCCAGTGGTGGAAGGGATGACTGGGGACATGCTCCAATGGACACGAGTGAACAACAGACAGAGAGCAGCATGTGTCATGGCTGTAACAATAATCACAAAACCAATAATAACAACGACAGGTATTAACTGAGGACTAAAACTTTAACAACAACTTAGCTGAACTGCAGGAAACTGAAAGAGGAAACATAATAAGATGTGTTCTGTTTGATCTTTCAACACATCATCATCTGATGTTTTTGCTGATACTGTTGTGAGGATTCACTGTCAGTCTTACTGCATTCATGTCAGACAAAAAGTATTTCAGTTTCCAGATTTTTATTTTCTTATTTCATGTCATCGTTTTCTTTTCTAGCTGCCAGCTGAGGAAAAGAATGGTTTCCTTGTGTCATTATCAAGGTTGTCAGATTTAGAGGATATACTGTATCTACCTGTGTTGTGCGTGCCTTATATGGCTTTATATCTTGCGGGGCCTGTGGAACTGAGGGACGGCAGTTTTTGGTTTACCGGATGCTGAGCCCTCCTGCTGTTGCCATGACATTAAAGAGCAAGTGGAAGGTGCTCGTCTATTTAAGGAATGGTACGTGCAGATTAAATAATAGCAGTCTTTTGCTTATCAGACGTCTTTTCAGGTATCAGCTATCAGGGAAAAAAATATATCCCACCACAGATGTTGCTTAAGAGTTATGTAGATTGCCGCGCAGTTCTGAGAAAAGATTTCATTAAAACTAAGTATAAACAGCTGGGCAAGTGTGTGTGTGCCCGTCAAGGTCAAGAACACAGTTATGCGCTTCAAGTTGTAGTTATCACATTTTTTAAAAAGCAGATTTGAAAACCAGGTGCTTGGGAAACCCTCCCCCCCAGAAAGGCAGTGTTTGTCAGAAATATTACTGTAACAGGTGCAAAACATCAGCTTCTCAGCTTCACATGACTGGAAACCACCATCTGTTCTATAAGAACAAGGGAGGCTTAAGTAATTAAAAAGTAATCAATCACAAAAACAGCCATAATTCAATTAATTTCTCATTTTCTGCACACATAGCGTACACACCCACTATTTAGACGACCTGATGATACAGACCTGTTTTAAGTATGTGAGATGAAAGTGAGTGAGAATGGTTGTCTGGTTCTCTGCAAAACACTGGTCATTTATCCAGGGTGTACCTTGTCGTTTACCCTATGATAGCTAGAATAAGCTCCAGACCAACCATGACCCTGAATTGGACGAGTGGATGGATGCTTGACACTTTCAAATTGAGAGCCAAACTGTTAATACAGGGAAAAAGTCTGTTGAAAGGGAATTTTCACAGTAAGAGCTGTGCATCACTTAAACCACAAGATCCAATGTGCACACTTGAATTATAATATGTTCAGTTGCCTAAGATTTTTGGAAGTTACGAGTGTCAGGAGAATGAAATTTGTTCAAATTTAAAGTAGTTAAGCTCTGTGTACATAACGAGAATGCAAACACTGTAACATATATTTCAATTTCTGCTTCCATTCCACACCCACGCTGTTCGCTTGGTGTCCTTGTGAAAGTCAAACACTGTAACACTGACGTCTGGCATGATAGTGGAATATGGTTTGTATTTTTCCAACGCTTGGCCTATGTACAAATCTGCATTTGTAAATACAGTTCTATTATGGACTCGCTGTGGCATCCTGGTCTCTAATCTATACAGTAAATATCACAGAGTGATATCATGTCCCCTTATGTATTCATCCAGCATATTTATCTTGTCTTGCGGCTTTGAGACTGAAAATGATGGCATGCATGCTTTTTTGCACAGTCTTGGAAGCATTTTGGATCTGGCAGTACACCCTAGTGTTACTTTGATTGGGAAAAAATAAACGCATACAGGAAGCCTACATAGAGAAGGCCACAAAAATCTAATGTAAATTCCATCATTAGAGGGTGAATGTGAGGGTCCGTGCAGACATCTGCAAGATTTGTTATCACCATGCAGACACCACACTGCAAGAACAGCTACTCCTCAATGGTGTCTGCAGCCATCGTGTGTGCATCTTGGGCCGCCTCTCCTTTAACAATACCATCAATTTTCCTCTTTCACTATCAGGGTCATCACTGCCCTTGAG